ACAAACAATCAGCCACTGCCAGATGGGACAGAAAATTTCATCTATGCTGACGATCGCGCCATCACCGCTCAAGCAGGGAGCTTTCAAATGGTTGAACAGAAGCTCTACGTGCACTTACTGCCTGTTACAGGGAAAACCAGCTTGCTCCATCAACGTTTAACATTTACACAAATAATCCACCATTGCTAGAAGGGACAGAGAATTTCATCTATGCTGATGATCGCGCCATCATCGCCCAAGCAGGAAACTTTGAAATGGTTGAACAGATGAAGCTTTAGGTTCTCTTACTCCCTGTTACAGGGAAAACCAGCTTGCTCCGTCAGTGTTTAACGTTTACACAAACAATCAGCCACTGCCAGAAGGGATAGAGAGTTTCATCTATGCTGACGATCATGCCATCACCACCCAAGCAGGAAGCTTTCAAATGGTTGTACAGATGAAGCTTTAGGTGCTCTTACTGCCTGTTACAGGTAAAACCAGCTTTATCCATCAATGTTTAACATTTACACAAATAATCAGCCACTGCTAGAAGGGACAGAGAATTTCATCTATGCTGACGATCACGCCATCACCACTCAATCAGAAAGCTTTGAAATGGTTGAACAGATGAAGCTTTAGGTTCTCTTACTGCCTGTTACAGAGAAAACCAGCTTGCTCCATCAGTGTTTAACATTTACGCCAACTATCACCCACTGCTAGAAGGGATAGAGAGTTTCATTTATGCTGACGATCACGCCATCACCGCTCAATCAGGCAGCTTTGTAATGATTAAACAGAAGCTCTCCAAAGCTCTTACTGCCTATTACAGAGAAAACCAGCTTTCTCCATCAGTGTTTAATATTTACACAAATAATCGGCCATTGCCAGACAGGACAGAGAGTTTAATCTATGCTGACGATCACGCCATCACCACCCAAGCAGGAAGCTTTGTAATGGTTGAACAGAAGTTCTCCGAACCTTTAGGTGCTCTTGCTGTCTATTACAGGGAAAAACAACTTTCTCCAGCAATGTTTAACATTTACACAAATAATCAGCCACTGCTAGAAGGGACAGAGAATTTCATCTATGCTGACGATCACGCCATCACCGCCCAAGCAGGAAGCTTTGAAATGGTTGAACAGGTGAAGCTCCTAACTGCCTGTTACAGGGAAAACCAGCTTGCTCCATCAGTGTTTAACATTTACGCCAACTATCAGCCACTGCTAGAAAGGACAGAGAATTTCATCTATGCTGATGATCGCGCCATCACCGCCCAAGCAGGGAGTTTTGAAATGGTTGAAGAGATGAAGCTTTAGGTACTCTTACTGCCTATTACAGGGGAAAACAGCTTTCTCCATCAATGTTTAACATTTATACAAACAATCACCCACTGCTAGATGGGACAGAGAGTTTCATCTATGCTGACGATCACGCCATCACCGCTCAATCAGGGAGCTTTCAAATGGTTGAACAGAAGCTCTACGGTGCACTTACTGCTGTTACAGGGAAAACCAGCTTACTCCATCAGTGTTTAACATTTACACAAACAATCAGCCATTGCCAGATGGGACAGAGAGTTTCATCTATGCTGACGATCACACCATCACCACTCAATCAGGAATCTTTGAAATGGTTGGACAGAAGCTCTACGTGCACTTACTGCCTGTTACAGGGAAAACCAGCTTGCTCAATCAGTGTTTAACATTTACAGAAACAATCAGCCACTGCTAGAAGGGACAGAGAGTTTCATCTATACTGACGATCACAACATCACCGCTCAAGCAGGGAGCTTTGAAATGGTTGAACAGAAGCTCTCTGAAGCTCTAGGTGCTCTTAATGCCTGTTACAGGGAAAACCAGCTTGCTCAATCAGTGTTTAACATTTACACAATCAGCCACTGCCAGACGGGACAGAGAGTTTCATCTATGCTGACGATCACACCATCACCACCCAAGCACGAAGTTTTGAAAAGGTTGAACAGATGAAGCTTTAGGTGCTCTTACTGCCTATTACAGGGAAAACCAGCTTGCTCCATCAGTGTTTAACATTTACACAAAGGATCAGCCACTGCTAGAAGGAACAGAGAGTTTCATCTATGCTGACGATCATGCCATCACCGCTCAATCAGAGAACTTTGAAATGTTTGAACAGAAGCTCTACGTGCACTTACTGCCTGTTACGGGGAAAACCAGCTTGCTCCATCAGTGTTTAACATTTAGGCCAACTATCAGCCACTGCAAGAAGGGACAGAGAGTTTCATCTATGCTGACGATCACGTCATCACCGCTCAATCAGGAAGTTTTGAAATGGTTGAACAGAAGCTCTACGTGCTCTTACTGCCTGTTAGAGGGAAAACCAGCTTGCTCCATCAGTATTTAACATTTACACAAACAATCAGCCACTGCCAGACGGGACAGAGAATTTAATCTATGCTGACGATCGTGCCATCACCACTCAATCAGCGCTGACAAAATTACCACCTGTCAGCTGCAAAAGGCCACCTTACTGGGATCTGCACGCATTATTCACAAATGCATCACACAGTCCTAGACACTTGGGAAGTGTACGACATGTGATCCAATACAACAGCCAGCAGAGTGTCTGCTGTGGACTCATCTTGTTGTGTTTATAATAATAATAATAATAATAATAATAATAATAATAATAATAATAATAATAAATGGTGGTGGTGGTGGTGATAATTATCAGCAGGTGAAATATACCCAGAAACTAGACAAACTTTGATCCCCCAAAATGTGTTTTGGCCAGTGCTGTTGTTGTTGTAATGGCATATGTTCTGTATCTCCAAAACTAGAGCTGATAGGGGAATCCTGGTGCCATTTTTTTGAATCAGCAGGCCAAATATACCCAGAAACAGGGCTAATATGATGGCCATGTATAGATGCATGAGGGGAAATCATAGGGAGGAGGGAGCAAGCTTGTTTTTTGCTGCCCTGGAGACGTGGAACAATGGCTTCAAACTACAGGAAAGGGGATTCCATCTGAACATGAGGAAGAACTTCCTGACTCTGTGAGCTATTCAGCAGTGGAACTCTCTGCCCCAGAGTGTGGTGGAGGCTCCTTCTTTGGAGGCTTTTAAACAGAGGCTGGATGGCCATCTGTTGGGGGCGATTTGAAAGCAATTTCCCTCTTTTTTGGCAGAATGGGGTTGGACTGGGATTCCATGATTCTTTGATTTTCTATGTGTCCTGGCCAGTGTTGTTATTGTTGTTGTTCTAGATTACAACATATGATTCTATGATTCTTTGATTCTATAACTCTTATGTGTGATGGCCAGTGTTGTTATTGTTGTTATAGCGTACAACATATGGTTCTATAGTTCTAGGACTCTATTTGTGTTGGCCAGTGTTGTTATTGTTGTTGTTATAGCGTACGACATATGGTTCTATGATTCTATGCTTCTATGACTCTATGTGTGTTGGGCAGTGTTGTTATTGTTGTTGTTAAAGCATACGACATATGATTCTATGATTCTATGACTCTATGTGTGATGGCCAGTGTTGTTATTGTTGTAGCGTACAACATATGATTTTTGGGTTCTATGGTTCTATGACTCTATGTGTGTTCGCCAGTGCTGCTGTTTTATAGTGTACAACATATGATTCTATGGTTCTATGATTCTATGACTGTGTGTTGGCCAGTGTTGTTATTGTTGTTATAGCGTACGACATTAGATTCTATGGTTCTATGGTTCGATGACTCTATGTGTGATGGCTAGTGTTGTTATGGTTGTTGATATAGCGTATGGCATATGGTTTTATGATTCTATGGTTCTAAGACTCTATGTGTGTTGGCCAGTGTTGTTGTTGTTGTTATAGCGTACGACACATGCTTCTATGATTCTATGGTCCTATGACTCTTTGTGTGTTGGCCAATGTTGTTATTGTTATAGCGTACGACATATGATTCTATGGTTCTATGACTCTATGTGTGTTGGCCAGTGGTGTTGTTATTGTTGTTGATATAGCGTATGGCATATGGTTCTATAATTCTATGGTTCTAAGACTCTGGTTCTATGTGTGTTGGCCAGTGTTGTTGTTGTTGTTGTTGTTATAGCGTACGACACATGCTTCTATGATTCTATGGTCCTATGACTCTTTGTGTGTTGGCCAATGTTGTTATTGTTATAGTGCACGACATATGATTCTATGGTTCTATGACTTTATGTGTGCTGGCCAGTGTTGTTGTTGTTGTAGCGTACGACATATGATTCTATGGTTCTATGGTTCTATGTGTGTTGGCCAATGTTGTTATTGTTATAGTGTACGACATATGATTCTATGCTTCTATGGTTCTATGACTTTATGTGTGTTGGCCAGTGTTGTTATTGTTGTTGTTGTTGTAGCGTACGACATATGATTCTATGGTTCTATGCTTCTATGACTCTATGTGTGTTCACCGGTGTTGCTATTTTTATAGCGTACGACATATGATTCTATGGTTCTATGACTCTATGTGTGTTGGCCAGTGGTGTTGTTATTGTTGTTGATATAGCGTATGGCATATGGTTCTATGATTCTATGGTTCTAAGACTCTGGTTCTATGTGTGTTGGCCAGTGTTGTTGTTGTTGTTATATCGTACGACACATGCTTCTATGATTCTATGGTCCTATGACTCTTTGTGTGTTGGCCAATGTTGTTATTGTTATAGTGTACGGCATATGATTCTATGGTTCTATGGTTCTATGAATTTATGTGTTCTGGCCAGTGTTGTTATTGTTGTTATAGCGTACAACATATGGTTTTATGATTCTATGTGTGATGGCCAGTGTTGTTATTGTTGTTGATATAGCGTACGTCATATGATTCTATGGTTCTATGGTTCTATGACTCTATGTGTGTTGCTATTTTTATATCGTATGACAATATGATTCTATGGTTCTATGGTTCCATGACTCTATGCGTGATAGCCAATGTTGTTATTGTTGATATAGCGTACGACATACGATTCTATGCTTCTATGACTCTATGTATGTCGGCCAGTGTTGTTATTGTTGTTGTTATAGTGTACGACATATTCTATATTTCCAAAACGAAAGCCAAAAGGCTACAAACGCTGCCATTTTTGGAATCATCGGGTCAGATAGGCCCAGGAATAATTGAGTCCCCGAAATATATGTTGGGCAGTGTTATGAAAGAAAGGAAAAACGGAGAGGGAAAAGAGCGGTGAGCAAAAATAGATGAACCTGGGCGATGACAAGCCTTGTTTTGTAAGAAGGAAGGGGAGAGAGGGGATCCCGGTGTGATGAGAGTGTATTTCTGTTCCTGGGAAGGAGGGGAGGGGAGACGCGGCTGCGTCCAGATCTGATAGGCCGCCTTCTCCTCTCTGCCGGCTTCATCATCTCCTTTCTTGGGCAGCCTCCTCCTCCTCGGCCCCCCTTTTCTCCTCCACGTCATTGGGATCCAGTGACGTCGGGTTCCCCCAAGCCCCAAAAAAGGGAGGGGAACCTCTCCCTCCATTGATCTGAAGCACATCTTCCCTCCCCGCTTTCCTTAACATGCCAGTGCCCACTCTTTCAGCAGCCTATAAAAGATGGGAGGCAAGCGTGGCTCTCCAACAGATCCAACCGGCATCCGAGAGAGACAGACAGAGAGACCGAGAGGAAGAGCGAGGCGACGAAGGGAGACGGAGGAGCGCTAGTCGCCAGAGCCTTTGGCAGCCGAGATGTACCGGTCTACGAAAGGCGCCTCCAAGGCTCGGAGGGACCAGATCAACGCCGAGATCCGGAACCTGAAGGACCTGTTGCCCATCGCCGAAGGGGACAAGCTCCGGCTGTCCTACCTGCACATCATGTCCTTGGCCTGCATCTACACCCGCAAGTCCATCTTCTTCTCCAAAGGTGAGTTCAGATGCTTAGGGATCGAGGGGTCGGAGGGAAAGCGTCTTGAAAGTTGGGGAAAGATGCTCTCCGAGAAGCATCCTTCCTTTTGGACCCTCTACTTGGGATGATGGTGCTCAACAGGTCTCTGCTTTCTCCATGGACCCGGAGACCGCTCTCCATGGTCCTGAAGAGACAGATCATGCTCCATGGACTGGAGACTGCTCTCCATGGTCCTGAAGGATAGGTCTCTCACTCACTCAATAGACTGGAGACTGCTCTCCATGGTCCTGAAGGGACAGGTCAAGGTACATGGACTGGAGACCATTCCCCATGGTCCTGAAGACACAGGTCTCTCTCCCCATGGACTGGAGACCGTTCTCCATGGTCCTGAAGGAACAGGTCATGCTCCATGGACCGGAGACAGGTCTCTTTCTCTCCCACTCACTCACTCCATAGACTGGAGACTGTTCTCCATGGTCTTGAAGAGACAGGTCTCTCTCCCCATGGACCAGAGACCATTCTCCATGGTTCTGAAGGGACAGGTCAACTTCCATGGACTGGACACTGCTCTCCATGGTCCTGAAGGGACAGGTCAAGGTCCATGGACTGGGGACTGCTTTCCATGGTCCTGAAGACACAGGTCTCTCTCCCCATAGGCTGGAGACTCTTCTCCACGGTCCTGAAGGGACAGGTCAAGCTCCATGGACTGGACACTGCTCTCCGTGGTTCTGAAGACACAGGTCTTTCTCCTCATGGACCAGAGAGCGTTCTCCATGGTCTTGAAGGGACAGGTCAAGCTCCATGGACCGGAGACTGCTCTCCATGGTTCTTAGGAGACAGGTCTCTCTCTCTCTCTCTCTCTCTCTCCCCCTCTCCATGGACCAGAGACTTCTCTCCATGGTCCTGAAGACACAGGTCTCTCTCCCCGTAGGCTGGAGACGGTTCTCCACGGTTCTGAAGGGACAGGACTGGAGACTGCTCTCCGTGATCCTGAAGAGATAGGTCTCTCTCCCCATGGACCAGAGAACGTTCTCCATGGTCCTGAAGAACAGGTTTCTCTCTCTCCCCCACCCCTCCATGGACCGGAGACTTCTCTCCATGGTCCTGAGGACACAGGTCTCTCTCCCCATGGACTGGAGACCATTCTCCATGGTCCTGAAGGGACAGGTCTCTCTCCCCCCCTCCATGGACTGGAGACTTCTCTCCATGGTCCTGAGGACACAGGTCTCTCTCCCCATGGACTGGAGACCATTCTCCATGGTCCTGAAGGGACAGCTCCCTCTCCCTTTCTCTCCATGGACCGGAGACCTCTCCGTGGTGCTGAGGACACAGGTCTCTCTCCCCATGAACCAGAGACCATTCTCCATGATCCTGAAGGGACAGGTCAAGCTCCATGGACTGGAGACCTGAGGATACAGGTCTCTCTCCACCTCCATGGACCGGACACTGCTCTCCATGGTCCTGAAGAGTCAGGCTCCTCTCCATTGACCAGAGACCACTCTCCATGGTCCTGAAGGGCAGCTATCCTTGCTCTCCATAGTCTTGAAACAGTTTCTTAACCTTAGTAAACTCTGGCTTCCAATGCTTACCTTTTCCTTCCCCCTTTCTCTTCCAGATACCACTGCGGAGAGCCTGGAGAGCCTGCTCTCGCCACAAGATTTGGAGGACTTCATGCAGACGCTGCCGGGCTTCCTTTTGGCTTTCACCGGAGAAGGGAAACTCATCTACGTCTCCGAGAATGTGTCCGAGCACCTGGGGCACTCCATGGTAAGGCTCTCCCGGGCACTTATACTGAAGGGGTTGTACAACTGTAAATTTTATACCAATGCAATGCATGCTCAATCATAGAGTAAGGTGGCTGCTTCTCTGAGTAATGGCTACGAATGGTAGTTGGTTGTTCTCGGCTGACCGTTCCCTCTCTATCCACAGGTAGATTTGGTGGCCCAAGGAGACAGTGTCTACGATATTATCGACCCAGCGGATCACTTTGTGATGAGGAACCAGCTGGCATTGCCGTCCCCTGTTGATACTGGTAGGTTCTCTTTTGTAAACAAGAGATTTCAGGGAAAGGAGGAGAAGGAAATGTAGCCTTCGAAAGAGTCAAAATCAAGGAAGTGCTTGATGAAGAGTCCAATGGGACATAGTGGAAGGGAAGGATGTCCATGTAAAGCTCAGTTCAGATTATTACTAGTATTAGTTTTGCTATTATTATTGCTACTATTACTATTACTATTATTATTACTAGTATTTGTATCCGGATCACAATTAAAAACCATGCAGGGAAAGGAGAAGAGTTGAATAAGGATGTATTGGAGGGGAATGATGTCCATGTAGAGCTCAGTTCAGAGTATTATTACTAGTATTAGTATATACTATTATTATTATATTACTTATATTCCTATAGTAATATTAATTTATTATTACTACTAATAGTATTAGTATTAATACCAGTATTAGTATATACTATTATTACTACTATATTATATTATTTATATTACTATAATAATATTGATATATTACTAATAATATTATTTTTACTACCAGTGTTGGTATTAATACTAGTATTAGTATATACTATTATTATTATTATTATTATTATTATTATTACTAGTAGTAGTATTAGTATTAATAATAGTATTAGTATGTACTAATATTATTACTAACATTATTATTAATAGCATTAGTATTAATACTAGTATTAGTATATGCTAATATTATTATTAATAGTATTAGTATTAATACTAGTATTAGTATATACTATTATTACTATTATATTATATATTTATATTACTATAGTAATATTAATATATTACTAATAATATTATTTTTACTACCAGTATTGGTATTAATACTAGCATTAGTATATGCTATAATTCTTATTACTAGTAGTACTATTAGTATTAATAATAGTATTAGTATATACTAATATTATTGTTACTAACATTATTATTAATAGCAATAGCATTAATACTAGTATTAGTATATGCTAATATTATTATTAATAGCATTAATATTAATACTAGTATTAGTATATACTATTATTACTATTGCATTATGTTATTTATATTACTATAGTAATATTGATATATTACTAATAATATTATTATTACCACTATTTGTATTAATACTAGTATTAGTATATACTATTATTATTATTACTAACCTTATTATCATTAATAGTATTAGTATTAATACTAGTATTAGTGTATGCTAATATTATTATTAATAGTATTAGTATGAATACTAGTATTAGTATATACTAATATACTATTAGTATTGCTATTATTACTACTATTAGTGTTATTATTATGGAGCCCCCAGTGGTGCAATGGGTCAAACCCTTGTGCCAGCTGAACTGCTGACCTGAAGACCTGAATGTCGGCGATTTGATTCTGTGAAATGGGGTGAGCTCCCATCTGTCAGCTCCAGCTTCCCATGTGGGTTCATGAGAGAAGCCTCCCAAGGGATGGCAATACATCCAGGCATCCCCTGGGTAACGTCCTTGCAGACAGCCAATTCTCTCACACCAGAAGCGACTTGCAGTATACTCCCAATAAAAAAAATGTTGTTGTTGTTGTTGAATAAGAATGTTTTGGAAGGGAATGATGTCCATGTAGAGCTCAGTCCAAAGAGTGGTGAGCAAAAGTCCAAATTCACCATGGAATAGACTAGGATGACTTGGAACACAATAAAGACTTATTGTTTAGGATACAGTTCCTTCACTTTAGGGTTCAAGGAAAAGGGTCTATAGGGGAAAAGTTCCTAGCTTGGTGTGCCTAGAACAGAAAGTGAGATAATAATAATAATAATAATAATAATAATAATAATAATATATTATTATTATTATTATTAGTAATAATAATAATAATAATAATAATAATAATAATAATAATATAAAAAGCAAATAGAAGTGCTCCAGGAATAATATAAGACTATATACCTGACCTGTCGATATCCTTCTCTCTTTATCTAAACAGAACGGCTCTTCCGATGCCATTTCAACACTTCCAAAACCATCCGGCGCCAAAGCGCCGGCAACAAGCTGGTCCTGATCTGCGGGAGGTTCCACCAGCCGCCGTTGGGCTCTTACTGGTCCACGAACCCGGTCTTCACCGCCTTCTGCACCCCGTTGGACCCCAAACCCAGGATGGGCCAGAACTCCTTCTTCCTGTCTGCTTTCGAGAGCCGGCACACCAAAGACCTGGCCATCGTGGACATCTCTGAAAGGTAAGGAGAACATAGAAGAACTCTTCCTGATCCAAATGGGGAAGTGGTTGAGTGATGCACCGCCTGTACTGACGGTCTCTTTTCTCTGACCTTTCTCCAGTGTGGTTTTCCATTTGGGTTTTGAGAAAAGCGAGCTCTTTTGCAAGTCCTGGTACAGCCTGATCCACCCTGAAGACCTCAGCCACGCGTCTGCCCAGCATTACCGACTGTGTGAGTATCTTATATCCCTCTTGGCAAGCCATCAACAACATATTTACAACATGGGAGGGATGCAGTGGTCTAATGTTCGGTGCTTTTCCTCCTTCAGTGGGCGACACAAGCGAAACGCAGGCCGAAATGGTGATCCGGCTCCAAACCAAAGACGGCGTGAACTGGATATGGATCTATTCGCTGCTCCGTCTGGAGAACGCCGACGTCCCCATCACTTGCCACAACTATATCATCAGGTAAATAGGAAAAATCTTGTCTCTGATATATCAAGCAACAGGTAGAACAGGCAAGATTTGGCTGTCAGGACTGTCTGGCTGTGGACAGAATTGTTTATTTACTATTTATTTACTTATATACCGGCCTTCTCACCCTTGGAGGGGGACTCAAGGCATCTCACAAACTACAGCAATAATTCAATGCCAAATTCAAACTGTAACATAACAATAACACACAATACAGTAGAGCTTGCAGTCCTCAGCAATGCCTTTGCAGATAGTCATTCCAAGGGTGCCAAGGAGCCTAGAGGTTGCAACATCTTCGGCATCAAAGGTTAAGAAAACTAAGAGTTGGAGAGATAATACTGAATTACAGTAGAGTCTCGCTTATCCGACATAAATGAGTCGGCAGAACGTCGGATAAATGAAAATGTCGGATAATATGGAGTCTCCTACTGTCACCCATCCGACACGGTGCTAGACACCTTGAATACTAACAACAGGGACTCAAAGAGTTGAGGCAAGGCAACGCCTCAGGGCTAGATGGGCCCAGCAAGAAGTGCCCGGATGCGGAAGAGGAGCGTGGAAATCACAACGGAAAGGAGGGAGGACACTTCCACTTCCGGTCCTGCCTCTTTTCCCACTTTCCTCCCTCCTCCTCCTCCTCGTCTTGCCTTTTTCACTTATTGGGAATGGATCGAGAGTTGGATAATTCTCCTTTAGTGCTGGGGGGAAAGGGTTGGATAAGAACAGCAGATAAGACAGTTAGACCACACCTGGAATATTGTGTCCAATTCTGGACACCACAATTGAAGAGAGGTATTGACAAGCTGGAAGGTGTCCAGAGGAGGGCGACTAAAATAATCAAGAGTCTGGAGAACAGGCCCTATGAGGAGCGGCTCAAAGAGCTGGGCATGTTTAGCCTGAAGAAGAGAAGGCTGAGAGGAGACATGATATAAATATGTGAGAGGAAGTCCTAGGGAGGAGGGAGCAAGCTTGTTTTCTGCTTCCCTGGAGACTAGGATGCAGAACAATGGCTTCAAACTACAATAAAGGAGATTCCATCTGAACATTAGGAAGAACTTCCTGACTGTGAGAGCCGTTCAGCAGTGAAGTCTGTTATATAGAAATGGTACAGCATTTCTAGCCAAAGAAAAAGAGGATGAAATAATCCATTTCACTCTCTCCTGTGTGACTCAGTCCGAGTATCTGCCTGTGTTGTTTGAGATTATTTGATTAATCTATATTAGGAAGAGCTTCCCAACTATAAGGAGAGCTGTTCAGCAGTGGAACTCTCTGCCCTGGAGTGTGGTGGAGGCTCCTTCTTTGGAAGCTTTAATGTCCCTGGCAAGCCTGAGCTCGTTTTGTGCTTTAGCCTTGCAAACCTCCCTGCAAGAGTTGGCTATTTGTTTGAATTCTTCTTTGGTGATTTCTCCCTTTTTCCACTTCTTGTATATGTCTCTTTGGAGTCTCAGCCCAGTGTGAGAGTTGTTCAGCAATGGAGTCTGTTATATAGAAATGGTATAGCATTTCTAGCCAAAGAAAAAGAGGATGAAAGAATCCATTTCACTCTCTCCTGTGTGACTCAGTCCGAGTATCTGCCTATGTTGTTTGGGATTATTTGACTAATCTATATTAGGAAGAACTTCCAAACTATAAGGAGAGCTGTTCAGCAGTGGAACTCTCTGCCCCGGAGTGTGGTGGAGGCTCCTTCTTTGGAAGCTTTAATGTCCCTGGCAAGCCTGAGCTCGTTTTGTGCTTTAGCCTTGCAAACCTTCTCCCTACAAGAGTTGGCTATTTGTTTGAATTCTTCTTTGGTGATTTCTCACTTCTTGTGTATGTCTCTTTGGAGTCTCAGATTATTTGATTAATCTATATTAGGAAGAACTTCCCAACTATAAGGAGAGCTGTTCAGCAGTGGAACCCTCTGCACTGGAGTGTGGTGGAGGCTCCTTCTTGGGAAGCTTTTGAACAGAGGCTGGATGGCCATCTGTCGGGGGTGCTTTGAAAGCAATTTTCCTGCTTCTCAGCATGGGGTTGGACTGGATGGCCCATGAGGTCTCTTCCAACTCTATGACTCCATGATGGAATGTCGGATTAGCGAATGTCGGATAAGCGAGACTCTACTTTATTATAAAACCGTTAAAAAATATATATTTCAATTACATAGTCTTTCAAATTATTAAAACATATCGAACATAATCCACGAGGTCTCTTCCAACTCTATGATTTTATGACGGAATGTCGGATTAGCGAATGTCGGATAAGCGAGACTCTTACTTTATTATAAAACCATAAAAAAATATATATTTCCATTACATAGTCAGAAGTGTAGCACCAACTGAGCTTTGTAAATGTTCAACCAATTGCTTTGGATAAGCATAGGAAATTGTGTATGCCTTCTCTGTCGAAGTCGGTACCTTTCTCACGATCCCGGCTTCCTTCTCTCTTCCCAGTGATGCCGAAGCCTGGTGCCTGAAGCAGCAACTCGCGGCCGAAGAGACCCAGGCAGCCTTTGCCCTCGGAAGCACGCCGGCCTTCTTGGAAGGCCTCCTTTCGCCAGGGCAACTCTCCAGCCCTGACCAAGTCTTCACCCCAGTGGCTGGCACCCCGACCAGTACTGTGACTGCTCCGTCTTTTGAGTTCGGCGGTCCTGAATGCCCTCCGACGTTCGCGGAGACCTCGTCCGCCCTGCCTCCTGAATCGACAGAGCCGGGAAATATCTCCTCCATGGAGGAGGCCCCTCGCGGCTCCACTCTGAGCTTTTTCGGCAAAGGCCCGGCCTTCAGCTACATCATCTACGACCAGACGGCAAGGCGGGACACCCGCAGGTCCAAGGACTTCGCTTGCACCCCTCCTTACACGCCGCATCAAGGGTCGGCCTTCTTATTCGGAACCCAAGACCCGTTTGTTTCCGGTCCAGCTCCGGTGATGACCGTCCCGGCGACGGTGGTGCCCACCACGACCGCCGTCGCCGCCACCACCACGTCCGAACTGTTCTTCCCCCAAGAACAATGCAGTGTTCTCTATGAGAAGTTACCGCCGACGCCGGACAGCCCCGGTAATGGGGACTGTACCGTGATGACTTTGCCCGAGATCCGGGGTCCCCTGTATATCGACGTGCCCATGGTACCCGAGGGGATCCTGACGCCCGAGGCCTCGCCCGTCAAGCAGGCCTTCTTCAGATATTCTGAACAGGAGAAGAGCGAGATCGAGCGCCTGGCGCGGCACATCGGCAGCCTGGCCGAAGCGTTCAGCTCCGCCAAGGAAACCCCCGCCCCGAGCGCCCCGTCCGGACTGAGCCTCAAGGACTGGAGGAGCGTAGACTTCTCCTCCTTGCTGGTCCTCCACAACCTTGACGACGATGACCTCCTCCTTGAGGAAGAGGACGTCGACGACGCCACCTTCGAGGCCCTCCTCCAAGACCTGTCCGCCTCTCTGTTCGAGAAAGGCGAGGCAGGCCTGCGGTGCCCACACCTCCACCCGTGCTGCAGCGGGAAAGTCGGCCCGGGCACCGAAGAGGGCCACCACCCGGGGGCTTTGGCTCCCTCGCCCAGCCAAGTGGACCGGCCTCCTCCGGAAGAGCCGTGCTTTCTGGAAGAGCTGGCCTCCTACGAAACAGCCTTTGAGACACGTGCCTCAAACTCTCCCTGTGACGGGTTCGATGAGTTGTATCAACTCCAGAGCCACATGCCAGACGGCTTCCATGAAGGTGAGTCTGGGGCCCACGCTCCAAAAAGAGGGAGGGCTTGGGCGTTGTGATTCCGGCCATGAAATCCTTCGACAATACATAGACTGGATGGCCATCTGTTGGGAGGGCTTTGATGGTGCCTTCCTGCCTGGCTCAAGGGGGTTGGACGGGATGGCTTTTGGGGTGTCTTCCAACTCTAAGATTCAATAACAACAACGATAATAATAGTAATAAGGGTGCTGTTGTGTCATTCCTTTGCTTTTGAAATGTCATTCCTTTGCTTTGCTTTTGCCTTCCTTGCCACTCACCCTCCTTTTGCCTTTTCTCTTCTTTCTCTCCTTCTGCAGATGGAAGCGAAAGTGACCCTTCGTTCTGAAATAAGTCCGTGACTTACTTCTCTAAGTATGGCATATTGTCATATCCAGTGGACCTTTTTTGTGTGTGTGTGTGTGCCGGAAAACAAAACTTCCAGAAGAAATGTATTTCCCCGCAGCTTTTATAGATATATATATATATACATAAAGAAAAAGAAGAAAAAATCACCCAAAAATAATATATATATATATGTATTTTGATTCTGAGACGTCAACGCTAGCTGAATCCGCAGCTACGCAGGGAAAGGACCATTGTGAAGTGGACTTTTGACACCTCTTAATTCGTATTCACTCGTAGTGAATCCTCTTGTATGTAATTTATTAAGAAATATCTAACCATTCGGGAGGGGAACCAACCCTGTGCCGAGAGGCTTCCGGCGGCTAATTCAACGCAGAGTTGGAGCGAAGCCAATGCGGAGCCGTTTTGCGCACATTTTCCCTTCCGCGAAACAAAAAAAGACAAAGAACGTGTAGGTGGTAAATAGAACCTACTATAGTAAGGGCCCATGGCTGGTGATTGTGATACTTCATTTTAATATATATATATATAAGTATGTATATATATTCTTTTGGCCAATTGCATTCCCAAAGTCCAGACCCCAATCTCATCTCGACCCTTTTTGTGGAAAGGGTTCGTGTCTTCCTGCTAGTATTATTGGCCGGAATCCTATTATTATTATTATTATTATTATTATTATTATTATTATTAATAATAATTTATTTATTATGGGGACTTGGATCTTCATAATGAGAACTGGAACTGGGAATGTATTCGGTACATTTATAATGTATTTGTCATTCTGCCACTATTCTTCGCCAGAATCCTATTATTATTATTATTATTATTATTATTATTATTTTGTCATTCTACTACTATTCTTGGCCGGAATCCTATTATTATTATTATTATTATTATTATTATTATTATTATTATGTCATTCTGCTACTATTCTTGGCCGGAATCCTATTATTATTATTATTATTATTATTATTATTATTATTATTATTATGTCATTCTGCTACTATTCTGGATTGGAATCCTATTATTATTATTATTATTATTTTATATTATTTTACTTTATATTATTTTATATTATTATTTATTTAGTTATTATGGAAACTTGCATCTCCGTAATGAGAATTGGAACTGGGAATTGATTCAGTACATTTATAATGTATTTGTCATTCTGCTACTATTCTTGATTGGAATCCTGTTATTATTATTATAATTATATGTTATTATTATTTTATATTATTTTACTTTATATTATTTTATATTATATTATTTATTTATTATGGGAACTTGCATCTTCGTAATGAGAATTGGAACTGGGAATGGATTCAGTACATTTATAATGTATTTGCAATTCTTCTACTATTCTTGGCCAAAATCCTATTATTATTATTATTATTATTATTATTATTATTATTATTTTATGTTATTATTTTATATTATTATTATCATTATTATATGTTATTATTATTTTATGATATTATTATTATTATTATTATTATTATTATTATTATTATTTATGGGTCCTTGCATCTTTGTAATGAGAATTGGAACTGGGAATGGATTCAATACATTTATAATGTATTTGCAATTCTACTATTCTTGGCCAGAATCCTATTATTATTATTATTATTATTATTATTATATGTTATTATTATTATTTTACATTATTTTACTTTATATTATTATTTTGTATTATTATTTTGTATTAATATTATTTATTTATTATGGGGCCTTGCATCTTTGTAATGGGAATTGGAACTGGGAATGGATACAGTACATTTATAATGTACTAATATTCTAATATTGGCCGGAATCCTATTATTATTATTATTAAATTTTATTGTTGTGTTATTTTATATTATTTATTATTTATTATTATATTATTATTTCATAATGATATTATTTATATTATTATTATTATTTTATATTATTATTTATTTATTATGGGGATCGTCATAATGAGATATTGGAACTGGGAATGTATTCAGTATGTTTATAATGTATTCGCCATTCTGCTACTATTATTGGCTGGAATCCTATTATTATTATTATCATCATCATGATTATTATTAGGACTTTACACCTTCATAATTGAAGTTGGGAAGTTTTATAATGTATTCAATACATTTATTAATGTATTCACTTTTCTGCCAATATTATTGGCCGGAATCATATTATTATTATTATTATTATTATTATTATTGACAATAATAATACTGTGTCATCGAAGGATTTCATGTCCGGAATCACTGGTTCGCTGTGAGTTTTCTGGGCTGTCTGGCCATCTTCCAGAAGCATTCTCTCCTGATGTTTCACCCTGGGAGGTTGTGCTTTGATTGTGTTCCCGCATAGAGGATTCCAGCCAATATTATTAAGGAACGGCTTTGCTTCTTTTCCCCAAATCTACCTGAAATTCAGGGCGAGCCAAAAACAAATAAGTATATTAATGGACTTCCATTGTGGGATTACCCGCAGTAATATTGTTCTCTTATTTTTGCACTAACGAAACGACACTATTTATTGTACTTAGGTTGTCACCTTCAACCTTATCCTGGACAAACCCCCACTGAACAACACATACGATTGTATTCTTAGTCCCACTACCACCCATATGGGTCTTATATGGTCAATGTAGATCACTATAATGCAGTCGTGCATTACAGGGTCAGTGTAAAGCAGGCATGGGCCAATTTTGGCCCTCGCACTGGGCTGAGACTCCAAAGAGACATATACAAGAAGTGGAAAAAGGGAGAAATCACCAAAGAAGAATTCAAACAAATAGCCAACTCTTGTACGAAGAAGGTTTGCAAGGCTAAAGCACAAAACGAGCTCAGGCTTGTCAGGGACATTAGGAATTGTGGGAGTTGGAGTCCAAAACACCTGGAGGGCCAAAATTCGCCCATGCCTGATGTACATCCATATGTTGCGACAGATTTGCACTTTGGTGTTTCAATGTTGTAAACACATCAAACAACAACAACACCGCATTGATAATAATGTATATTTTGTAAACAAAAGCAACTATATATATGTGTGTGTGTTTGTATATATTTATATATATATATATATACATAAGAGTGGGTTTACTTTTTCATTCTGTCTCTCGGCATTCATCGTGTCGTGCAAATCTCGGACCCAAAACGAGGTCTAAACTGTGAACTATTTTTGGAATAATAAAAACTAAAAATTTCGGAAAGAACAGTAAAGTGAAATGTCTTTCTTGAAACGCAAAATGATTGCAAGCACAACAATTCGATGCATTTCCATTTAATGCAGTTTGGTGCATTATAGGGTAGTGTAGGTACATATAATGTAGATCAGTGACAAGCATCCCGAGCTCTGAGGATGACCTGGGAAGGAATCCCACCGGAGCATTGCAGCACACCCAAATACCTGGGAGTCACCCTGGACCGAGCTCTGACTTATAAGAAGCACTGCTTGAATATCAGGCAAAAAGTGGGTGCTGTAAACAATATTTTACGAAAGCTGAGTGGCACAACCTGGGGATCACAACTAGACACAGTGAAGGCATCTGCCCTTGCGCTTGGCTACTCTGCTGCTGAGTATCCATGCCCAGTGTGGAACACATCTCACCACACTAAAACAGTGGATGTGGCTCTTAATGAGACATGCCGCACTATCACAGGATGTCTACACCCAACACTGCTGGAGAAATTATACTGTTTAGCTGGTATTACACCACCTGACATCTGTCGGGAAGTATCAGCCAATAATGAAAGGATCAAACTATTGACATCTCTGGCCCATCCTCTGTTCGGATATCAGCCAGCACGCCAATGCTTTAAATCAAGAAGTAGTTTTGAAAGATCCACAGAGATACTCGCAGGAACACCTCAGCAAGCAAGAGTCCAAAAGTGGCAGGCTAAAACTCAGAACAATCCATGGCTGATACTGAATGAGAAACTCCCCCCTGGGCACACAGAAGACTGGGCAACTTAGAAGATGCTGAACAGACTGCGCTCCGGGACCACAAGATGCAGAGCCAACCTTAACAAATGGGGCTGCAAAGTGGAGTCCATGACATGCAAATGTGGAGAAGAGCAAACCACAGACCATCTACTACAACTCTAGTGTAGGTCCTTATAATGCAGATCGGTGCATTATAGGGTCAGTGTAGGTCCTTATAATGCAGATCGGTGCATTATAGGGTCAGTGTAGGTCCTTATAATGCAGATCGGTGCATTATAGGGTCAGCGTAGATCTTTATAATGCAGGTCAGTTCATTAAAGGGTCTGTGTAGGTTCTTTTAACGCAGATTGGTGTATTATAGGGTCAGTGTAGGTCCTTATAATGCAGGTTGGCACATTATAGGGTCAGTGTAGGTCCTTATAATGCAGATTGGTGCATTACAGGCTCAGTGTAGGTCCTTATAATGCAGATCGGTGCATTATAGGGTCAGTGTAGGTAGATATAATGCAATTCAGAGCATTATAGGGTCAGTGTGGGTCCTTGTAATGCAGATTGGTTGATTATAGAGTCAGTGTAGGTCCTTGTAATGCAGATTGGCACATTATAGGGTCAGTGTAGGTCCTTATAATGGAGATTGGTGTATTATAGGGTCAGCGTAGGTCCTTATAATGCAGATCAGTGCATTATAGGGTCAGTGTAGGTCCTTATAATGTAGATTGGTGTATTATACGGTCAGTGTAGGTCCTTATAATGCAGATTGGTGCATTATAGGGTCAGTGTAGGTCCTTATAATGCATATTGGTACATTATAGAGTCAGTGTAGGCCCTTATAATGGAGATTGGTGCTTTATAGAATCAGTGTAGATCCTTATAATGCAAGTCAATGCATTATAGGGTCTGTCTAGGTAATTATAATGCAGATTGGTACATTAAAGAGTCAGTGTAGGTCCTTATAATGCAGATCAGTGCATTATAGGGTCAGTGTAGGTCCTTATAATGCTGATCGGTACATTATAGGGTCAGTGTAGGTCCTTATAATGCAGATTGGTGCATTATAGGGTCTGTCTAGGTAATTATAATGCAGATTGGTACATTAAAGAGTCAGTGTAGGTCCTTATAATGCAGATCAGTGCATTATAGGGTCAGTGCAAGTCCTTATAATCCAGATTGGTACATTATAGAGTCAGTGTAGGTCCATTTAACGCAGTTCGGTGCATTGTAGCATAGTGTAAAAATATATCATGCAGATCAGTGCATTATAGGGTCAGCGTAGGTCCTTATGGTGCAGATTGGTGGATTATAGAGTCAGCGTAAATCCTTATGGTGCAGATTGGTGGATTGTAGGGCAGTGTAGATACATATAATGTAGTTCAGTGCAATATAGGGTCAGTGTAGAGCCATATAATAAAGCGCTTGGGTGAATTATAGGGCCTTGTGGGTCAATCGCATTGTTTTCCTCTCTCTGATATCTGGGTGCCCTCTGCTGGGTTAGGAAAGGAAAACAAACCAGAAATTTAATGTCATTTTGGCGGGGAAATTGACAAAAGCGGAAGAAGAACAAGGGGATTTCCTTTTTTCTTCTCTGCTCCAGCATGTTAGCCCGCTAAGGGCCATGGCTAAGGTAAGGAGAGCAAAAATAATGTCAATTAATATTAGGGTTTCCTTTTATGGGTCTCATTTGGAGACAAAAGTGGAATAAAATTATTATTATTATTATTATTATTATTATTATTATTATTATTATTATTTGAAGTGGAAAGAATATGTCAGCATACTAGGAGTGCATCTACACAGTAGAATTAAACCATTTTGACAGTACTTTAACTGCTATGACTTAATTGGGGTTAACAGTAGACCCTAGGATTGGGGTGCAACCTCCTCCTTTGGAGGTTTGTTAAGGAGAGGCTGGATGGCCCTCTGTTAGGGGAGCGTGGATTGTGCCTTCATAGCAGAATGGGGATGGGATGGATGCCCTTTGGGGTTTCCTCCCAACTCTAGTGTAATCTAGACTGCCTGGGAGTCGAGTGGAGTCTCCCTCTCTGGATGTTTATTAAGCAAAATTTGGATGGTCATCTGTTGGGACGGTTTTGATGGCGTCTTCCTGCATGATATCAATGTGGTTGGGCTGGATGACCTTTGGGGTTCCTTCCCAACTCTAGTGTAATTCAGACTGCCTGGGAGTCTGGTGGAGTCTCGCTCTCCGGAGGTTTTGAAGCAGAATCTGGATGGCCATCTGTTGGGAGGGTTTTGATGGTGTCTTCCTGCATGATATCAATGGATTTTGGCTGGATGACCTTTGGGGTTCCCTCCCAACTCTGGTGTTTTGAAGCAGAATCTGGATGGCCATCTGTTGGGGGGGGGGGGTTGATAGTGTCTTCCTGCATGATATCAATGGGGTTAGGCTGGAGGACCTTTGGGGTTCCTTCCCAACTCTAGTGTAATCCAGACTGCCTGGGAGTCTGGTGGAGTCTCCCTCTCTGAAGGTTTTGAAGCAGAATCTTGATGGCCATCTGTCGGGAGGGTTTTGATGGTGTCTTCCTGCGTGATATCAATGGGGTTGGTCTGGATGACCGTTGTGGTTCCCTCCCAACTCTACTGTAATCCAGACTGCCTAGGAGTCGAGTGGGGTCTCCCTCTCTGAAGGTTGTTAAGCAGAATCTGGATGGCCATCTGCCGGGAGGGTTTTGATGGTGTCTTCCTGCATGATTGGGCTGGATGAACTTTGGAGATGCCTCCCAACTCTACTGTAATCCAGACTGCCTGGAGGTCGAGTGGAGTCTCCCTCTCTGAAGGTTTGTTAAGCAGAATCTGGATGGTCATCTGTTGGGAGGGTTTTGATGGTGTCTTCCTGCATGATATCAATGGGGTTGGACTGGAGGACCTTAGGGGATCCCTCCCAAATCTAGTGTTTGGAAGCAGAATCTGGATGGCCATCTGTTGGGAGGGTTTTGATGGTGTCTTCCTGCATGATATCAATGGGGTTGGGCTGGAGGACCTTAGGGGATCCCTCCCAAATCTAGTGTTTGGAAGCAGAATCTGGATGGCCATCTGTTGGGAGGGTTTTGATGGTGTCTTCCTGCATGATATCAATGGGGTTGGGCTGGAGGACCTTTGGGGATCCCTCCCAAATCTAGTGTTTGGAAGCAGAATCTGGATGGCCATCTGTTGGGAGGGTTTTGATGGTGTCTTCCTGCATGATATCAATGGGGTTGGGCTGGAGGACCTTTGGGGTTCCCTCCCAAATCTAGTGTAATCTAGGCATTTGTTTACCTTTCTCTGCTGCAACTGCATTACATTCTACAGTGCAGACGCCCCCTAGTGGGGGAATGGCAGCTTTGCAGCTTCAGCCAGGGAACTACATTTCCCAGAAAGCTACAAAGAGGTTGCCATGGCAGTTAACGCGAGAGGAGGTCCAGAGCAGGCAGGTGAATGGATGGAGAGGTGAAGCAGAGTGCATTGAAGAGGATGAGCCCTTCCCAGCCACAAAGGTAGCTGCCCTTCCCAGCCATTGGAGGCCATAGAGGTCAAGCATCCTTCATTCCCCCCAAAATACCCCCAAATAATAGGATATGTAGTTTGCTGGGGCCCCAAGGAGAAGTCTAAGGTCATAGAGGGGAAGCTACAGCTCCCATTATTCCATTGCATGGAGCCATGGCAGCTCAAGGGGAGGGTCAAACTGCAATATTATTATTATTATTAGTATTAATGCCCTTGCATTAGCAAATGGACTAATTTAGCAAATCCCTAAATATTTGGAATGCATATCATGTAATTATTTTAAGAATATTTTGCAAAGTCTTGGTTCTATGCCTGCAAAAATATAATAATGTATATATATAATATTTTATGTGTATATAATATAATATAATATAATATAATATTATATTATATTATATTATATTATATTATATTATATTATATTATATTATATTATATTATATTGTGTGTATATATCATGTGTATATACGTAAAGGTAAAGTCCGACTCTGGGGGTTGATGCTCATCTCCACTTCTAAGCCAAAGAGCCAGCGTTGTCCATAGACACTTCCAAGGTCATGTGGCCATCATGACTGCATGGAATGCTGTTTTTTTCCCGCCGGAGCGGAACCTATTGATTTACTCACATTTGCATGTTTTCGAACTGCTAGGTTGGCAGAAGCTGGGGCTAACAGTGGAAGCTCACTCTGCTCTCCGGGCTCAAACCTGCAAGCTTTCGGTCAACAAGCTTAATTTTATGTGTGTATATATAATAAATAATACTGTATATAGTGTGTGTGTATATAATGTGTATAATATATATATATATATATACACACACACACATACAGTACATATACATACAATACAATATATACATATAGCATTGTATGTGTGTACATATATTCTAATATAATATATATAGTGTGTGTATATATAATATATACACATATACAATACATATACATACAATATTATATATATATAATATGTGTATATATAATATATAATACTGTATATAGTGTTTGTGTATATATATGTGTATATATTATGTATATATACACACACATACAATACATATACATACAATATAATATGTCCATATAGAATATTGTATATATTACATTGTATTTGTGTATATATATTCTAATATAATATATAGTGTGTGTGTGTATATAATATATACACATATACAATATATATACATACAATATATATATAATGTGTGTGTATATATAATATATAATACTGTATATAGTGTTTGTGTATATATAATGTGTATATATTATGTATATATACAAACACATACAATACATATACATACAATATATATAATACATATATAATATTGTATATATAAAATTTTATGTGTGTATAAATTCTAATATAATATATATAGTGTGTGTATATAATGTATATATACACATATACAATACATATACATACGATATTATATATTATATATATACAATCTTATGTGTGTATATATAATATATAATACTGTATATAGTGTTCGTGTATATATTATGTATATATACACATGTACAATACATATAAATACTATATTATATATATATAATTTTATGTTTTTATATATAATATATAATACTGTATATAGTGTTCGTGTATATATTATGCATATCTACAAATGTACACTACATATACATACAATATAATATATACATATATAATATTGTATATATAACATTTTATGTGTGTGTATATATTCTAATATAATATATATAGTGTGTGCGTATATAATTATATATACACATATACAACACATATACATACAATATTATATATTGTACATATAATTTTATGTGTGTATATATAATGCTGTATATAGTGTGTGTATATAATGTATATATTATGTGTATATATACATACAATATTATATATACAAATATAATGTATATATATAACATTTTACATCTTTGTATATATATATTATAATATATTATACTATGTATATAGTGTGCGTATTTATAAGGTATATATTATGCATATATACACACACTATATATACATACAATATATATATATATATACACCCAATATTGTATACTTACTTAGGCGATCCCTCGTAGTCCGAGGATGATGGTCCTCCAAGTTCGGTGTCCTGGGGGTGGGTCCATAGGTGACTGTGTATGTATATGTATATGTATGTGTGTGTATATGTATATATATATATTCTTGACCTGCATCTTCTCCCACAGTGAGGGTATTGGTTTCAGGTGGAAAGCGGTCCTAGTCGGGGTTGGCTTGATGCGCCTTCCTCTTGGCACGTTTCTCTCTTCCGCCCTCCATTCGGGCCTCTTCAAATTCTGCAGCACTGCTGGTCACAGCTGACCTCCAGCTGGAGCTCTCAAGGGCCAGGGCTTCCCAGTTCTCAGTGTCTATGCCAGAATTTTTAAGGTTTTATATACATATAATGTGTGTGTGTGTGTGTGTGTATATATATATATATATATATATATATATATATATATAGTCTGTATATAGATATAAAACTTTGAGATATTCAACACAGAGAGAGTAATTTGTAAATACTCCTAAAACATTTTAATGCTAATTTCTAAACCAATTGCAATGGATATTTTGTCAATGAGAGTTTAGCAACCGTTTCCCATTTTCCCCGCAGTGCCTGGCAAATTTTGGACGAAGAGCTGAAACTGAGGTTTTTCTCACCTTTGCCCTTGTGTTCGATCTTATCTATGTTGTATTTACTCTGTTTTTACTCTTTTTTTCTGCAAAAATCCAGTTTTTCCTCTTGGGTAACCCTTTCCTGCCTATGTATCGTCGAAGGCTTTCATGGCCGGAATCACTGAGTTGTTGTGGGGTTTTTTGAGCAATATGGCCATGTTCTAGCGGCATTCTCTCCTGACGTTTCGCCTGCATCTATGGCAAGCATCCTCTGAGGATTCTTGCCATAGATGCAGGCGAAACGTCAGGAGAGAATGCCGCTAGAACATGGCCAAATTGCCCGAGAAAACCTACAACGACCCTTTGCTGCCTGCTTTGGACTACAATATTTACAGTGAAAATTAAGAGGTTTGAATCCCTAATTGAAATATAAATTAATCTTATATTAATTCTAATGTATTAATATTAATATATAATTATTAGCCGTCCCCTGCCATGCGTTGCTGTGGCCCACATGGGGGTTCTGTGTGGGAGGTTTGGTGGGGTTCAGAATGCTCTTTGCATGTAGGTGAACTATAAATCACAGCAACTACAACTCCCAAATGTCAAGATTATTTTTTTCCCAAACTCCACCAGTGTTCACATTTGGGCATTTGGAGTATTCGTGTGGAGTTTGATCCAGATCCATCATTGTTTGAGTCCACAGTGATCTCTGGATGTAGGTGAACTACAACTCCCAAACCAAAGGACACTGCCCACCAAACCCTTCCAGTATTTTCTGTTGGTCATGGGAGAACTGTGTGCCAAGTTTGGTTCAATTCCATCGTTGGTGGGGTTCAGAATGCTCTGTGATTGTAGGTGAACTATAAATCCCAGCAACTACAACTCCCAAATGTCAAGTTTCTATTTCCCCTAATCTCCACCAGTGTTCACATTTGGGCATCTTGAGTATTTGTGTAGAGTTTGGTCCAGATCCATCACTGTTTGAGTCCACAGTGATCACTGGATGTAGGTGAACTACAACTCCCAAACCAAAGGACACTGCCCACCAAACCTTTCCAGTATTTTCTGTCGGTCGTGGGAAAACGGTGTGCCAATTTGGTTCAATTCCATTGTTGGTGGGGTCCAGAATGTTCTTTGATTGTAGGTGAACTATAAATCCCAGCAACTACAACTCCCAAATGTCAAGATTCTATTTCCCCCAAACTCCACCAGTGTTCACATTTGGGCATATTGAGTATTTGTGTAGAGTTTGGTCCAGATCCATCCTTGTTTGAGTCCACAGTGATATCTGGATGTAGGTGAACTACAACTCCCAAACCAAAGGACACTACCCACCAAACCCTTCCAGTATTTTCTGTTACATTTTATTTATATAGGTAATGCTTAGCATTTTAATCATTCATATATATATGTATTTATGTATATGTATATAGTAAAATGCTGGAAGTTGTAGTCCATAATTTACCTTTCTGAAGTCGTCCTTCCTTGGCTTGACTGCTTTCTTCTAGATCCGTGGGGATCCCTTGCTGTTTGACAACTTTTCTTTCCGAAGTCGGACTTGGCAGACGCTCCCTAACGTCTGAGATGGATCCAAGCCCAGGTTGCTCAATTATTTTTGAATATTTTGGTTCTCTCTTTCCAGGTGGAGCTGGCATTTGACAGGAGAGGAGGGGAACTCCCCGCCGCTGCAACAAAGGTGCCTCTCTTTGCCTCTTTCTTAGGGGCAAAAGTCCCTTTTCCGCCCCGTTTATTTATGGCTCCCCAAACAAGACCCAAGGATTCGTAAGTAGATTATATTCATAATAATACATTATTATTATTATTATTCTACCTGAGAAGGGGAGAAGAGTGTTGCATTTAAGGCAAGAGATAAATTATTATTATTATTATTATCTATTATTATTATTATACTTGAGAAGGGAAGGAGAGTGTTGTGTTTCAAGGCAAGAGATATATTATTATTACTATTATTATCTATTATTATCTATTATTATTATGCTTGTGGGGGAGAAGAGCTGTATTTCAAGGCAATAGATATATTATTATTATTACTATTATTATCTATTATTATTATTATTATACTTGAGAAGGGAAGGAGAGTGTTTTGTTTCAAGGCAAGAGATATATTATTATTACTATTATTATCTATTATTATCTATTATTATTATGCTTGTGGGGGAGAAGAGCTGTATTTCAAGGCAATAGATATATTATTATTATTACTATTATTATCTATTATTATTATTATGCTTGAGAAGGGGAGAAGAGTGTTGTGTTTCCAGGCAAGAGATCTATTATTATTATTATTACTATTATTATTATCATTTATTATTATTGTTATTATTCTACCTGAGAAGGGGAGAAGAGTGTCGTATTTAAGGCAAGAGATAAATTATTATTATTATTATTATTATTATTATTATTATTATTATTATTATTATTATGCTTGAGAAGGGAAGGAGAGTGTTGTATTTCAAAGCAAGAGATATATTATTATTATTATTACTATTATTATCTATTATTATTATTATGCTTGAGAAGGAGAGAAGAGTGTTGTGTTTCAAGGCAAGAGATATTATTATTACTATTATTATCTTTTTTAATTATTATTATTATGATTATACTTGAGAAGGGGAGAAGAGTGTTGTGTTTCAAGGCAAGTGATTTATTATTATTATTATTATTATTATGCTTGGGGGAGAAGAGTTGTATTTCAAGGAAAGAGATATATTATTATTATCATTGATTATTATCATTATTCTTCTTGAGGAGGGAAGAAAAGTGTTGTGTTTCAAGGGAAAGAAATTATTGTTGTTGTTGTTGTTGTTGTTATCACCACTATATTATTATTATTATTATGCTTGAGAAGGGGAGAAGAGTGTTGTGTTTCAAGGCAAGTAAAGGTAAAGGTTTTCCCTGCCATTAAGTCCATAATAATAATAATGACGTTGGGTCATTGGCCACAACAACAGCAACAATAATAAGGTAAAAGTAGGTAAAGGTTTTCCCCTGACATGAAGTCCAGTCGTATCCAACTCTGGGGGTTGGTGCTCATCTCCATTTCTAAGCTGAAGAGCTGGCATTGTCCATAGACACCTCCAAGGTCATGTGGCCAGCATGACTGCATGGAGAGCTGTTACTTTCCCACCAAAGTAGTACCTATTGATCTACTCACATTTGCATGTTTTTGATCTGCTAGGTTGGCAGAAACTGAGGCTAACGGCGCCAGTTTGGTCAGCAAATTCAGCAGTTCAGGAATTTAACCCGCTGTGCCATATATTATTATTATTATTATTATTATTATTATTATTATTATTATTATTATTGTTCTTTTGATTGAGGAGGGAAGTATGTTATGTTTTAAGGGCAAAAATACATTGTTGTTGTTATTATTATGCTTTCAATTAAGGAGGGAAGTATGTTTTTAGGGCAAGGAATACAGTTTATTATGATTATGATGTTTGTATTTTTTATTATTATTATTATGTTTCGAGGAGGAGAGGTCTGTTGTGTTTTGAGGGTGAGAAATACAATGTATAATAATTATAATAATGTACAAATAATAACAATAATAATGCTTTTGCTTGTGGAAGGGAGAAGTCTTGTGTTTTGAGGACAAGGAATACAATGTGTAATAATAATAATAATAATAATAATAATAATAAGTCAGAATAATAATAATAATAATAATAATAATAATAATAATAATAATATACAAACAACAATGCTTTTTGCTTGTGGAAGGGAGAAGTCTTGTGTTTTGAGGGCAAGGAATACAATGTGTAATGATGATGATAATAATAATAATAATAATAATAATAATAATAATAATAATAATATACAAACAACAATGTTTTTGCTTCTGGAGGGGAGAAGTCTGTTGTGTTCTGAGGGCAAGGAATTCAATGTGGAAGAGCCGGCATTGTCCATAGACACCTCCAAGGTCATGCGACTGGCATGACTGAATGCAGCACCGTTAGCTTCCCACCGGAGCGGTACCTATTGATAAACTGATAAACTAATAATAATAATAATAATAATAATAATAATGTTTTTGCTTGTGGAGGAGAGAAGTCTGTTGTGTTTTGAGGACACCCGAAGGCCTGCAAATATGTTTTGGCTTCCTTTTTCTTCCCGTGAAGCGTTCTGAATGGAGGTCATTGTGCAAGCCTCCTTTAGCATTGACGTCGTCTTGCTTTTCGGCGTGTGCCTCTGCCTAGGTGTGTCCACTTTTGAATTCTTTTAATCTGATCATATCTGGAGGGGTTTGTTTTTATAATTAATTCTGCATCGCCGATTTGGGGGAATTGCTTGAGCTCAAACTTGGAACTCCAAAGGATTGAATTGCTGGTTTTTCTTTTCTCTTTTTTTGCAAACACACGTCTCAAAAACTAGATTTTCCTGTCTAGAGAGATGAGGCTTCGGTGCTTCTTTTTTCCTTCCTTTCAAGTTTGAACCATTCAAGCGAAAAATCGCCTTCAGGCAAACACCTGATCTTCCGAGTTGTTGTGAGTTTTCCAGGCTGTCTGGCCATGTTCCAGAAGCATTCTCTCCTGACGTTTCGCCTCCATCTATGGCAGGCATCCTCAGAGGTTGTGAGGTCTTATATTTTATTTTAATTATTTCTAAACTGACTTTTTCGAAGGTTGTCGTTTAATGTTTCAACAGTTAGGTAATAATAATAATAATAATAATAATAATAATAATAATAATAATAGGGTAGTAGTTTTTTTCAGGCTATATGGCCATGCTCCAGAAGCATTCTCTCCTGACGTTTCGCCTGCATTTATGGCAAACATCCTCAGAGGTTTCAGGTGAACTACAACTCCTAGAAATCAAGGTCATTTCCCTCCCAAAACTTTTGGTATTTTTTATTGGTCATGGGAGTTCTGTGTGCCAAATGTGGTTCAGGTCCATTGTCAGTGGAGGTCACAGTGCTCTGTCTGGATACAGGGTGAACTACAACTTCCATCATGTTGAGTCAGTCCCCCAAACTCCTCCAATATGTTCGGTTGCTGATCATTTCCGCTCTGTTTGTTGTGCGCCATAGAAAAGAGTAGGAAAGGGTTATGGAAGAGGCAGTGGGCGGGATCATGCAAATTACACACCAATGGAGAGAGTTAGAAGCACTGGGATGTCTGTGGTGGAGGAAACACATATAATCTAGGATGAATAACCTGCAATGTCATTGGAGTGAGAGCTTTTGGTGGATCATCATAGGTGGAGATCATATCTGTGAAAGTGGGCACCCCAGCCACATACGTATTTTCATTTTTATTATTATTTTTATTTTCACTTTTATTATGTGTATAGATTGTAAATAAAACCCCATGTTTTCTCTCCCAAACTCCCAGGTTCCACTGCGTGGGCATTATCTTCTTCCTGCTTGGTTTGGGGACTCTCCTTCCATGGAACTTCTTCATCACAGCCATTCCGGTGGGTCTGGAGGATGGCCATCTGTCAGGAGGCATTAGATTGTGTCTTCCTTAATGGCAGAATGGGGTTGGACTCAATGGCCCTTGGGTTCTCTTCTAGACCAATGATTATATGACAGATATATCAAAGTATATTATTATTATTATTATTATTATTATTATTATTGTGCATCTGTTTATCTATAGCTGGATGACCATCTGTCAGGAAGAATCAGGTTGTCATCTACTTAATGGCAGAATAGGCTTGCACTGGATGGCCCTTGGGGTCTCGTCCAGATATCTCATAGTATATAGTGCATCTGTTTACCGATAGCTGGATGGCCATCTGTCAAGAGGGATCAGATCATGTCCCCCTTAATGACAGAATGGGGTTGGACTGGATGGCCATTGTGGGTCCCTTCCAACTCTAGGATTCTGTCATAACAATAATTACCTTTCATAATAATGAGGATGATGATGTAGTCTCATTCTCGAGGTTTTTTTTAGTAAAGGCTGAATGGCTATCTGTTGGGAGGGATTGGACTGTGGCTTCCTACATAGCAAAAGAGGGTTGAACTGGATGGTATTTGGGGGTCCCTTCAAACTATTACTACAGTATTATTCTTAATAATAATAACCAGAGATTGGATGGCCATCTGTCTGGAGTGATATTATATTATTATTATTATTATTATTATTATTATTATTAAGCAGGGACTGGATGGTCATCTGTCTGGAATGATCAGATTGTGACTTCCTGCATGGCAGAAGAGTGTTGAATTGAATGGCATTTGGGGATACATTCAAACTATTACTACATTATTATTATTATTATTATTAATAATAATAATAATAATAATAAGCAGAGACTGGAGGGCCATCTGTCTGGAATGATCAGATTGTGACTTCCTGCATGGCAGAATAGGGTTGAACTGGATGGCTCTAGGGGGTCCCTTCAAATGTCATTGTTGTTGCTATTATTATTATTATTATTATTATTATTATTATTATTATTATTATTATTTGGGGGTCCCTTCAAACATTATAATTATGATTATTGTTATTATTATTATGGCCATCTGTCAGGAGGGATCAGATTGTGTTTTCCAGAAAGGAAGGAGTTGGACTGTATGATCTCTGGGATGTGTCCCCCTTCTAAAACATTATTATTATTATTATTATTATTATTATTATTATTATTATTATTATGGCCATCTGTCTGGAGGGATTGGATTGTGACTTCATGGCAGAAGAGGGTTGAACTGGATGGCTCTTGGGGATTCCTTCAAACATTGTTGTTGTTGTTGTTGTTGTTGTTGTTATCAAGCAGAGACTGTATGGCCATCTGTCTGGAGTGATTGGATTGTGACTTCCTTCATGGCAGAAGAAGGTTGAACTGGATAGTTTTTGGGGGTCCCTTCAAACATTACAATTATTATTGTGGCCATCTGTCGGGAGGGATCGGATTGTGTCTTCCAGAAAGGGGTTGGACTATATGATCTCTGGGATGTGCCCCCCCCCTTCTAAAACATTATTATTATTATTGTTATTATTATTATGGCCATCTGTCTGGAGGGATCGAATTGTGACTTCCTTCATGGCAGAAAAAGGTTGAACTGGATGGCTCTTGGGGGTCCCTTCAAACATTATTATTACTATTATTATTATTATTTAGCAGAGACTGGATGGCCATCTGTCTGGAGGGATCAGATTGTGTCTTCCAGAAAGGGGGCTGGACTATATGATCTCTGGGATGTGCCCCCCCCCGAAACATTATTATTATTATTATTATTATTATTATTATTATTATTATTATTATGGCCATCTGTCAGGAGGGATCAGATTGTATCTTCCAGAAAGGGGTTGGACGATATGATCTCTGGGATGTTCCCCCTTCTAAAACATTATTATTATTATTATTATTATTATTATTATTATTATTATTATTATTATTATTATGGCCATCTGTCGGGAGGGATCGGATTGCGACTTCCTTCATGGCAGAAGAAGGATGAACTGGATGGTTTTGGGGGTCTCTTCAAATGTTATTATTGCTGTTATTATTATGATGGCCATCTGTCGGGAGGGATCGGATTGTGTCTTCCAGAAAGGGGTTGGACTATATGATCTCTGGGATGTGCCCTCCTTCTAAAACATTGTTGTTGTTGTTGTTGTTGTTATTATTATTATGGCCATCTGTCGGGAGGGATCGGATTGTGACTTCCTTCATGGCAGAAGACGGTTGAACTGGATGGCTCTTGGGGGTCCCTTCAAACATTACAATTATTATTATGGCCATCTGTCGGGAGGGATTGGATTGTGACTTCCTTCATGGCAGAAGAAGGATGAACTGGATGGCTCTTGGGGGTCCCTTCAAACATTACAATTATTATTATGGCCATCTGTCGGGAGGGATTGGATGGTGACTTCCTTCATGGCAGAAGAAGGATGAACTGGATGGCTCTTGGGGGTCCCTTCAAACATTACAATTATTATTATGGCCATCTGTCGGGAGGGATTGGATTGTGACTTCCTTCGTGGCAGAAGAAGGATGAACTGGATGGCTCTTGGGGGTCCCTTCAAACGTTGCAATTATTATGATGGCCATCTGTCTGGAGGGATCGGATTGTGACTTCCTTCATGGCAGAAGGATGAACCGGATGGTTTTTGGGGGTCTCTTCAAATGTTATTATTGCTGTTCTTATTATGATGGCCATCTGTCGGGAGGGATCGGATTGTGTCTTCCAGAAAGGGGTTGGACTATATGATCTCTGGGGTGTCCCCCAGTTCTAAACCATGCCACTCTCTCATCAGTATTTCCAGTCGCGTCTGACGGCAAGGAACTGCTCAGCTGCTGTGGATGATGGGAACCGGACGGGGCCGGGATTCGAACCCGCTTCCCTTTGCAACGACGACTTTAACTTCAGCAACTGGTTGGCCCTTCTCTCTCAGCTGCCTTTGCTGCTCTTCACCCTCCTGAACTCGCTCCTCTATCAATGGTAAGGCAGGCATCTATCTATCTATCTTTCCTTCTTTCCCGTCTTTCCTGGATTCTGACAGGGCGGGAAGGGGCGGGGCGGGGTCTGGAGGTGGCGTGAAGGAGGTAAGATTGGGGCGGGGGAAGTGATGGAGCGTGGGGTTGCGTGTGTGTGTGCGGCGGCGGGGGAGTGATGGAGCGTGGGGTTGCGTGTGTGTGTGCGACGGCGGGGGAGTGGGGGTGCGTGTGTGTGTGCAGCAGCGGGGGAGTGATGTGGAGCGTGGGGTTGCGTCTGTGTGTGCGGCGGGGGAGTGATGGAGCGTGGGGTTGCGTGTGTGTGTGCGGTGGTGGGGGGAGTGATGGAGCGTGGGGTTGTGTGTGTGTGTGCGGCGGCGGGGGGAATGGGGTTGCGTGTGTGTGTGCGGCGGCGGGGGGAGTGATGGAGTGTGGGGTTGCGTGTGTGTGTGTGCGGCGGCGGGGGAGTGATGGAGCGTGGGGTTGCGTGTGTGTGTGCGGCGGGGGGAGTGATGGAGCGTGGGGTTGCGTGTGTGTGTGCGGCGGCGGGGGGAGTGGGGTTGCGTGTGTGTGCGGCGGCGGGGGGAGTGATGGAGCGTGGGGTTGCGTGTGTGTGTGTGGCGGCGGGGGGAGTGATGGAGCGTGGGGTTGCGTGCGTGTGTGCGGCGGCGGGGGGAGTGATGGAGCGTGGGGTTGTGTGTGTGTGTGCGGCAGGGGGGGTATGTGTGCGGGAAGCGGCGTGGTGGGGCTTGGAGTGGGCATGGCTTCCGCAGAGGGAACGTTGGCCGGTAGGCTGTGTGTGCGTGCCAGGGAACTTGCGGCTGGGCGCCAATGCGCATGCTCAGTTGTTTTGCCGTTTTGTGAGTGTGTTGTTGTGTTGTTTTTCATTTTGAGTAGATATGTTTGTACCTTGTGGGTTGTGTTATGGGCATGGGAATTTTGGTTAAGTTTCATTGGGTTTTTTTTTTTTGTGGCTCCGTTGGATGCCCCTAACAAATTTATATATATATAGATATATATTACTGTTCTATCTATTACTATATAATATGTTACTATATTAACAAGACTCCTAGAGTCAGCCTTGGCTCTCTCCCTCCTCCTTCTCTCCCTTCCTTCTCTCTTCCCCCATTTTCTCCCTTCATGCCTTCACTGCCTCCTCTCCTCCCTCCCTCTTTCCCTCATCCTTCCCCTCTTTCCTTCTCTCTTTCCTCTTTCCTCTATCCCTCCCTCCCTCCCTCCTTCCCTTCTTCCTCCGTCTTCAGCTCTCCCCTTGGCTGCCGCCATCAAGGGGTTCCAGTAAGCCCCGCCCCTAAATATATTAAATATACTAAATATATTAAATAAACTAAATATACTAAATATATTAAATAGACTCCTAGAATAGAGTTAGAAGGGACTCTACCAGACAGAAGAGAAGTAGGGAGGGAGGGAAGGAGAGAAGGAAGGAAAGAAAGAGGTACCGAAGGAAGGAAGAAGATAAAGTAGAAATGAAAGGAAAGGCAGGAAAGAGGTAAAGAAGGAAGGAAGGGAAAAGGAAATAAAAAGTGAAAGAAGCAAGAAAACAGTGAAGGAAGACATGAGACAAAGGAAGAAGTAGAGAAAGGGGGAGGGAAGGAAGGAAAGAGAGGAGGAAGGATGAAACCAAAGAGTGAAATAAAGAACGAAAGAAAGAGGTAGAGAAGGAAGAAAGGAGAGAAAGGGGAAGGGGAAGAAAAAGAGGGGAAGGAATAGGTAGGTCCAGATATCTACCTCTACTTCGAAAATACTTACTATAGGCCACAGCAATGCGTGGCAGGGTACAGCTAGTATATCTATATATATATTCAATATAAGTCTAAATCAATCTATCAATCTAAAAGTGAACTAATCTAATTATGCCTGTTGTCAATCTAAACCAGCATCCCGGACACAGTGCGGATCCTGGGCAGCCTCTTGGGGATCCTGCTCCTCTTTGTCCTGACGGCGGTCCTGGTCCGGACGGAGGTCTCGCCCCAGAGCTTCTTCTCCCTCACCATGGCCAGCGTCTGGCTCATCAACTGTGAGTCTTTGCATTGGAAGGGGGTCCCCAGAAGCCATCCAGTCCAACCCCCCTCCTCCTCTGAGCATGCCCAGAGTGCATTCCCTTGCCCAACACAGAATCATAGGGATCTATGTTGAAACAGATGTTCCTGGAAGACCACCCAGTCCAAACCTCATTCTTTCAGGCAGGAGAAGCACAATCAAAACACTCCCAGCAGATAGCCATCCAACCTCTGCTTCAAAACCTGTAGAGAAGGAGACTCCACCATCATTATGATCAAGGATTATTATTTATCATCACCATCAAATATTATTATTATTATTATTATCATCAATTATTATTATTATCATCCATTATTATCAGTTATCTATTATTATCAATTATTGTTGCATTGTTATTATAATTATTATTAATATTACTAGCTGTACCCGCCACGCGTTGCTGTGGCCAACCTTCCCCCCCTCTTTATCTCCTTTCTTTTTTTTCCTCTCCTTCCTTCCCTCCCTCTTTCTCTCCTTCTTTCTTTCACTCCTTCCTTCCCTCCTTCTCTTTTTCGTTCCTTCTCTCTTTCACTTTGTTATTTCCTTCTCTGCTTTCTTCTCTACTTTTCTTTCTTTCCTTCTCTCCTTCCCTCCTTCTCTCCCTCCTTCTCTCCTTCCTTTCTCCTCTACCCTTCTTTCTTTCCTTCTTTCTCTCCTTCCCTCCTTCTTTCCCTCCTTTTTTCCCTCTTTCTCTCCCTCCTTCTCTCCTTCCTTTCTTCTCTCCCCTTCTTTCTTTCCTTCTTTCTTTCCTTCTTTCTCTCCTTCCCTCCTTCTTTCCCTCTTTCTCTCCCTCCTTCTCTCCCTCCTTCTCTTCCTTTCTTTTCTCCCCTTCTTTCTTTCCTTCTTTCTCTCCTTCCCTCCTTCTTCTTTCTCTCTTTCTTTCTCTCCTTGTCTCCCTCCTTCTCTCCTTCCTTTCTCCTCTACCCTTCTTTCTTTCCTTGTTTCTCTCCTTCCCTCCTTCTTTCCCTCTTTCTCTCCCTCCTTCTCTCCCTCCTTCTCTCCTTCCTTTCTTCTCTCCCCTTCTTTCTTTCCTTCTTTCTCTCCTTCCCTCCTTCTTTCCCTCCTTCTCTTCCTTTCTTTTCTCCCCTTCTTTCTTTCCTTCTTTCTCTCCTTCCCTCCTTCTTCTTTCTCTCTTTCTCTCACTCCTTCTCTCCTTCCTTCCATCTCTCCCCTTCTTTCTCTCCTTCCCTCCTTCTTTCCCTTCTCCTTTCCCTCTTTCTTTCCTTCTCTCCCTCCTTCTCTCCTTCCTTCCTTCTCTACCTTTCTTTCCTTCTCTCCTTCCCTTCTTTTCTTCCCTCTTTCTCTCCCTCCTTCTCTCCTTCCTTCCTTCTCTACCCTTTTTTCTTTACTTCTCTCCCTCCTTCTCTCTTTCCTTCCTTCCTTCCCCCTTTCTGTGTATGTGTTTTGTGTGTGTATATGCATAGATGTGTGTATATGTGTGTGTTTGTGTATATATATGTGGTTCTGCGCATGCATTGTAATGTATTTTCCAGTGTTTTTGTGAGTGATGGTCACTCGTTGGCCTGAGAAGTGTCTTGTGTCCAAATTTGGTGTCAATGCGTCCAGTGGTTTTTGAATTATGTTTTTATTTATATAGATTATTCTTATAGAATCCTAGAGTTAGAAGACACGACAAGGGCTATCCAGTCCAAACCTCATTCTTACAGGCAGGAAAGGCACAATCAAAGCACTCCCAGCAGATAGCCATCCAACCTCTGCTTCAAAACCTGTAGAGTAGGAGACTCCACCTTCATTATGATCCAGGATTATTATTTATCATTATCATCAATTATTATTATTATTATTATTATTATTATCATCATCAATTATTATTATCATCAATTATTATTATCAATTATAAATAATTATTATCAATAATTATTGTATTATTATTATTATTATTATTATTATTATTATTATAGAATCCTAGAGTTAGAAGAGACCACAAGGACTATCCAATCGAAGCCCTTTTCTGCCATAAACGAAGACCACCAGCAAAGCCCTCCCAACAGATGGCCATCTAGCCTTTGCTTCAAGACCTCTAGAACAGGAGACTCTATTGTCATAATCAGTATGATCAAATTGCGACTGTTATTTGTTAGTATTTATTTAACTATTTATCTATTTTATCATATATATATTATATATATATAATATATATAATATATATTATAAATAATAATATTTATCTATTATTACCATTATTATTATTGTTGTTGTTGTTGTTGTATTTATTTATCTATTTATCTATTCAATCATATATATATATATATATAATATTTATCTATTATTACCATTATTATTATTATTATTATTATTTGATTGACTCCTGGACTTAGACGTGACGCCAGAGGTCATCCAGTCCAACCCCATTCTGCCCGGCAGGAAGAACACATTAGTATTTATTTATCTATCTATTTTATCATATATATTATATATAATATATATATTATAAATAATAATATTTATCTATTATTACATAATAATATTTATCTATTATCTATTATCTATTATTTATCTATTATTACATAATAATATTTATTTTTCAAATATGTCAATGTTTCAAAGAGGATGAAAAATTGGGCTTTGCTACGGATCAGGGACTTTGGGAAATAGTAATGAAGAAGAATAAAAAATTAATTAAGATCCTTTATAAACAACTTCTAATCTGGGCAACAGAAGAAGAACAGGTAAAGAACTGTCAGGTGCAGTGGGCAAGAGATATAGGGCATAGTATCCTTACAAGCCAATGGGAGGAAGTATGGAATAAGAAAATCAAATATACAATAGCCAGCGATCTTCGGGAGAACTGGTACAAAATGTATTTTAGATGGTATTACACCCCTGCAAAATTGGCCAAGTTCAACAAAAATATAACCAACAACTGTTGGAAATGCGGAAAAGAAAACGGGACATTCTTCCATCAATGGTGGGCTTGTAAACATTTAAAAAATTATTGGAGAGAAATTCATCAAGCATCCCAGAAGATCATAAATATGAAATATCCGCAAATCCCGGAAATGTATCTACTCGGCATTAATAATGACATCAAACTGAATGAAAATCAGGACAAAATACTATTTCTGCTGTGCACAGCAGCCAGGATTCTGATTGCAAAGAAATGGAAGCAGAAAGAAATACCAAACAGAGAAGAGTGGTTAATCAAAGTTTACGAAATAATACAAATGGATAGCCTATCCCAAAGAATAAATGGAACACAGAAAAAAACAGACTGGTCAGGTTTCATAGACTTTATGAAAGCACAGGAAATACCAACAATAATAGATTTGTCCTGCATATAAACTAAGCGGAAGAGAGAAGGTCAACAGCAGAAAATACTAAAGTAGTCATCAGATCAAACGACAAGATATTCTTGGAAGATCTTGGGAAGTCGCACAAAGTTCACTCACCCCCGTTTGTTTTTTTTTTTTCTTTTCTCTTTTTTTCTCTTCTGTTAATACCTTTTATATCCTCCCATCTCTTTCACAGTCCACTCACCTGCCCCCATACTATCTCTCCCCATCTATATACCCCTCTCCACTTTCTCTGATCTTTCTCTATGTAATATGATGTCTATGTGTAAAAAAATCCAAATAAAAAATATTATAAAAAAATAAATAATATTTATCTATTATTACCATTATTATTGTTGTTGTTGTTGTTTGTTAGTATTTATTTATCTATTTATCTATTTAATCATATATATATACACACACACACACACACACATATATATATATATATATATATAATTTATCTATTATTACCATTATTATTATTATTATTATTATTATTATTATTATTTGATTGACTCCTGGACTTAGACGTGACGTCAGAGGTCATCCAGTCCAACCCTATTCTGCCAGGCAGGAAGAGCACAATCAAAGCAGTCCTGACAGATGGCCATCCAGTCTCTGTTTAACAATAGAAGTAATAATAATAATAATAATAATAATAATAATAATAATAATAATAGAATTCTAGAGTTGGAAGCGACTCCAAGGGCCATCCAAACCCTCCCGATAGATAACCATGCAGCCTTTTTATCATATATATATTTTTATCATATATATCATTTATATAATATATATAAAAATATATTATAAATAATAATATTTATCTATTATTACCATTATTATTGTTGTTGTTATTGTTGTTGTTATTTGTTAGTATTTATTTATCTATTTATCTATTTAATCATATATACACACACACACACACACACACACACACACACACACATATATATATATAATATTTATCTATTATTACCATTATTATTATTATTATTATTATTATTATTATTTGATTGACTCCTGGACTTAGATGTGACGTCAGAGGTCATCCAGTCCAACCCTATTCTGCCAGGCAGGAAGAGCACAATCAAAGCAGTCCTGACAGATGGCCATCCAGTCTCTGTTTAACAATAGAAGTAATAATAATAATAATAATAATAATAATAATAATAATAATAATAGAATTCTAGAGTTGGAAGCGACTCCAAGGGCCATCCAAACCCTCCCGATAGATAACCATGCAGCCTTTTTATCATATATATATTTTTATCATATATATCATTTATATAATATATATAAAAATATATTATAAATAATAATATTTATCTATTATTACCATTATTATTGTTGTTGTTATTGTTGTTGTTATTTGTTAGTATTTATTTATCTATTTATCTATTTAATCATATATACACACACACACACACACACACACACACACACACACATATATATATATAATATTTATCTATTATTACCATTATTATTATTATTATTATTATTATTATTATTATTTGATTGACTCCTGGACTTAGATGTGACGTCAGAGGTCATCCAGTCCAACCCTATTCTGCCAGGCAGGAAGAGCACAATCAAAGCAGTCCTGACAGATGGCCATCCAGTCTCTGTTTAACAATAGAAGTAATAATAATAATAATAATAATAATAATAATAATAATAGAATTCTAGAGTTGGAAGCGACTCCAAGGGCCATCCAAACCCTCCCGATAGATAACCATGCAGCCTTTTTATCATATATATATTTTTATCATATATATCATTTATATAATATATATAAAAATATATTATAAATAATAATATTTATCTATTATTACCATTATTATTGTTGTTGTTATTGTTGTTGTTATTTGTTAGTATTTATTTATCTATTTATCTAATTAATCATATATATATATATATATATATATATATATATTATTACCATTATTGTTGTTGTTGTTGTTATTTGTTAGTAGTTATTTATATATTTATCTATTCAATCATATATATATATATATATATATATATATATATATATTAATTTATATTATTACCATTATTATTATATTATTATTATTATTATTATTATTATTATTTGATTGACTCCTGGACTTAGACGTGACATCAGAGGTCATCCAGTCCAACCCCATTCTGCCAGGCAGGAAGAGCACAATCAAAGCAGCCCTGACAGATGGCCATCCAGTCTCTGTTTAATAATATTAGTAATAATAATAATAGAATTCTAGAGTTGGAAGTGACTCCAAGGGCCATCCAAACCCTCCCGATAGATAACCATGCAGCCTTTTTATCATATTATATATATATATATATATATAATATATATAATATATTATAAATAATAATATTTATCTATTATTACATAATAATATTTATCTATTATTGCCATTATTATTATTATTATTATTATTATTATTATTATTATTATTATTTTGATTGACTCCTGGACTTAGACGTAACATCAGAGGTCATCCAGTCCAACCCCATTCTGCCAGGCAGAAAGAACACAATCAAAGCAGTCCTGACAGATGGCCATCCAGTCTCTGTTTAATAATATTAGTAATAATAATAATAGAATTCTAGAGTTGGAAGGGACTGCAAGGGCCATCCAAACCCTCCTGATAGATGGCCATCCAGTCTCTGTTTAACAATAGAAGTAATAATAATAGAATTCTAGAGTTGGAAGCGACTCCAAGGGCCATCCAAACCCTCCCGATAGATGGCCATGCAGCCTCTGCTTAAAAACCTCCAGAAAATATGATTATTATTCTCAGTGATGATAATGATAGAATCCTGGAGTTAGAGGGGACCCCGGAGGCCATCCAGTCCAGTCCTCCCATGCAGGAAAGCACCATCCGAACCCTCCCGATAGATGGCCGTGCAGCCTCTGCTTAAAAACCTCCAGAAAATATGATTATTATTCTCAGTGATGATAATGATGGAATCCTGGAGTTAGAGGGGACCCCAGAGGCCATCCAATCCAGTCCTCCCATGCAGGAAAGCACCATCCGAACCCTCCCGATAGATGGCCATGCAGCCTCTGCTTAAAAACCTCCAGAAAATATGATTATTATTCTCGATGATGATAATGGTAGAATCCTGGAGTTAGAGGGAACCCCAGTGGCCATCCAGTCCAGTCCTCCCATGCAGGAAAACACCATCCGAACCCTCCCGACAGATGGCCGTGCAACCTCTGCTTTGAAAGATGGGTCCTCCCGAGCCACCAAAAACTGCTTTTGGGCGCCATATTTTGGAGTGGTGTATAATAATAATAATAATAATAATAATAATAATAATAATTATTATTATTATTATTATTATTATTATTATAGTAATAATGCGGAGCTTTCCGTCTCTTTGGTCAGCGTTCTGTGCCGTCCTGCAAGGCAGCCTTTTTGGGCAACTGGGGAGCTTCCCGCAAGGCTACAGCACCCTCTTCCTGAGCGGACAAGGAATGGCCGGGACCTTCGCGGCCGTGGCTATGCTGCTTTCCATGGCCAGTGAGTATCTTCGTATATAGCTGCTTTTGGGAGTTGTAGTTTGGCGAGGGCCTTGTGGAAACTACAACTCCCATTTTGAAAATTGGGGAATCGTTCCTCGATACTGACGTTTTGTTTTGTCTTTCCAGGCGGAGCGGACGCCCAGACCTCTGCTTTGAGCTACTTCATCACTCCTTGCGTCGGGACCCTGGTCTCCATTGCCTGCTACCTCTTGCTGCCCCACAAGGTACTTTGGAAAACTAGAGGGTTTCCGTCAGAGTCACCTCCTCCTCTTGCAGTCCCTCTAGGGCTCTGTGATATGATAATAATGTAATATTATGATAATATTTACTTATTTCCTATATAATAATAATAATAATAATAATAATAATAATAATAATAATAATAGGCAGAAGCTGGGGCTGACAGTCGGAGCTCACTCTGCTCGCTGGGTTTGATCCTGCGACCTTTAAGTCAACAAGACTTAACTGCTTTAACTCACTGCGCCACTGGGGCAACCAATAATAATAATAATAATAATAATAATACCCTTAAAATAATAATAATAATAATAATAATAATAATAATAATAATAATAATAATAATAATATCCTCCTCTTGCAGTCCCTCTAGGGCTCTGTGATATGAATATAATATAAATGGATTATGATAATATTTACTTATTTCCTATATTTATACCCCGCCCTTCTCCCCCCGAAAGGGGACTCAGGGCGGCCATAATAATAATAATAATAATAATAATAATAATAATAATATCCTCCTCTTGCAGTCCCTCTAGGGCTCTGTGATATGAATATAATATAAATGGATTATGATAATATTTACTTATTTCCTATATTTATACCCCGCCCTTCTCCCCCCGAAAGGGGACTCAGGGCGGCCATAATAATAATAATAATAATAATAATAATAATAATAATATCCTCCTCTTGCAGTCCCTCTAGGGCTCTGTGATATGAATATAATATAAACGGATTATTATAATATTTATTTATTTCCTATATTTATACCCTGCCCTTCTCCCCCCGAAAGGGGACTCAGGGCAGCCATAATAATAATAATAATAATAATAATAATAATAATAATAATAATAATAATAATATTCTTGCATGGCAGAATGGAAGATCCTTGGGGTTCCTTTCAGCTCTAGGATCCTATGGCATTAATAATATCATCTTATCTAATATTTATAATAATAATAATAGTAATAATATCTCTGCATAGCAGAATGGATGGCTCTTGGGGTCCCTTTGAGCTCTAGGATCCTATGGCATTAATATAAATATAAGATAAGATAATAATAATAATAATAATAATAATAATAATAATAATAATCTTGCATGGCAGAATGGATGGCTCTTGGGGTCCCTTTCAGCTCTAGAATCCTATGACATTAATATAAGTATAATAAGAAGATATTATTATTATTATTATTAGTAGTAGTAGTAGTAGTAGTAATGTCTCCGCATGGCAGAATGGAAGATCCTTGCGGTCCCTTTCAGCTCTTAAGATTCTATGACATTAATAATATCATCTTATCTAATATTTATAATAATAATAATAATAATAATATATCTGCATGGCAGAATGGATAGCTCTTGGGGTCCCTTAAAATAATAATAATAATAATAATATCTCTGCATAGCAGAATGGATGACTCTTGGGGTCCCTTAAAATAATAATAATAATAATAATAATAATAATAATAATAATAATAATATCTCTACATAGCAGAATGGATGACACTTGGGGTCCCTTAAAAAAATAATAATAATAATATATCTGCATGGCAGAATGGATGGCTCTTGGGGTCCCTTAAAATAATAATAATAATAATAATAATAATAATAATAATAATAATAATATCTCTGCATAGCAGAATGGATGACTCTTGGGGTCCCTTAAAATAATAATAATAATAATAATAATAATAATAATAATAATAATAATATCTCTGCATAGCAGAATGGATGACTCTTGGGGTCCCTTAAAATAATAATAATAATAATAATAATAATAATAATAATAATATATCTGCATGGCAGAATGGATGGCTCTTGGGGTCAGTAAAATAATAATAATAATACTAATAATAATAATAATAATAATAATAATAATAATAATAATAATAATATATTGCACTGAAAACCCTGGTCCTAAATAATAATAATAATAATAATAATAATAATAATAATAATAATATATCTGCATGGCAGAATGGATGGCTCTTGGGGTCCCTTAAAATAATAATAATAATAATAATAATAATAATAATAATAATAATAATAATAATACCCTTGCATTACTGAATGAGGTTGGAGTGTATGGTCCTTGCATCTCTCCTGGTATTGTCTCTGAGCCAAAGGTCAGCAGGTAATAAAACACGACTGTCCACGCCCTGATGCCGAAGTAACTATATATCCCATTATCCCTGGATGAAAGCTGGGAAAGACCAGATGATACCGGCCATTGGAATTGTTACCAGCTTGCCTTCTTTGCAGGATTTTGCTCGCTATTATCTGGAGAAAAAGCCCTTGGAAGAGCCGGGATATGAGCCGGAGACCAAGGCTGGACTTCTTATACCCGGTGAGTCGTTGTTGTTGTTGTTGTGTTGTTCTTAGAGCACTAAGTGCTTAATAATAATAATAATAATAATAATAATAATAATAATAATAATATATTAATTATTATAATTATTATAATTATATATTAATGTATTATTTTATATTAATATAATAATAATATATTAATAATTATTATAATTATATATTAATGTATTATTCTTTTATATTAATATATTGATAATAATATTAATATAATAATAATATATTAATAATTATAATTATATATTAATGTATTATTCTTTTATATTAATATAATAATATATTGATAATAATTATAATTATATATTAATGTATTATTATTTTATATTAATATAATAATAATAATATATTAATAATTATCATAATTATAATTATATTAATGTATTATTCTTTTATATTAATATATTGATAATAATTATAATTATATATTAATGTATTATTCTTTTATATTAATATATATTAATAATAATAATAATAATGTGTTTTATTTCTCCAGAGGACGGACCCTCCATCATTCAAGAGACCACCAATAGGGAGTTGTTGAACTTGAGCAATGGGAATAATAATGTCGCCTCTCCGGGGCCGGAAGATACGGCAGCTCCTGCTTTGATCGCAAACGGGAGCCCCAGGGTGGCCGTGGTGACCCCAAAACCCTCTGTCCTCGGGGTGCTCAGGAAGGTAGGAACCTTTAGTATGGGAAACATAGTGCGTTCGTTGAAGGTTTCAAATTCAGATGGAAACACAGCTGGGGTTTGGTGCCAGGATACCTACTTTGCGGATGCCCAAATCCCATTACATGCAGTGGGGCCCGTTATAGACCACACAAGAATGTGACACGGCAGCGAAAATAATAATAATAATAATAATAATAATAATAATAATAATAATAATAACAACTAGCTGTACCCTGCCACGCGTTGCTGTGGCCTATAGTAAAACTTTTCAAAGTTGAGTTAGATACCTGGACTATTATGAAAGAGAGGTACCTACCTATTCCTTCCCCCTTTTTCTCCCCCTTTCTCTCCTTTCTTCCTTCTCTACCTCTTTCTTTCTTTCTTTCTTTCCTTCTTTCGCTCCTTGGTTTCATCCTTCTCTCTTTCCTTCATTCCCTCCCCCTTTCTTCCTTTGCCTCCTTTCTTCCCTCCATGTTTCCTTCCTTCTTTCATTTTTTATTTCCTTTTCTCCTTCCTTCTTTACCTCTTTCCTGCCTTTCCTTCCTTTTATTTTTCTTTCCTTTCTACTTTCTCTTCTTCCTTCCTTCGGTACCTCTTTCTTTCCTGCCTTCCCTCCTTCCTTTCTTCCTTCCCAATGCTTACCAAACCCTTCTCGTGCTTTATGTTGGGTCATGGGAGTCCTGTGTGCCACGTTTGGTTTAATTCCGTCGTTGGTGGAGTTCAGAATACTTTGATTATAGGTGAACTATAAATCCCTGCAGCTACAACTCCCAAATGACAATATCATTTTTTTAGTGTCGGTGGGTGTGGGTGAGGCTTCTGCGAAGGTGGGTGGGAGGAGGAGGAGGAGTGTAGGGGCGGGGCGTCGGTGGGTGTGGGCGGGGCTTCAGCGGAGGGGGGGGGGAGGAGGAGGAGGGTGTAGGGGGGGGGTTGGGTGGGTGTGGGCGGGGCTTGCGGAGGGGGGTGGAGGAGGAGTGTAGGGGCGGGGCGTCGGTGGGTGTGGGCGGGGCTTCTGCAGGGGGGTGGGAGGAGGAGGAGTGAGGGGGCGGGGCGTGGTGGGTGTGGGCGGGGCTTCCACGCGGAGGGGGGTGGGAGGAGGAGGAGGAGGGGCGGGGCGTCGGTGGGTGTGGGCGGGGCTTTGCGTAGGGGGGGGGGAGGAGGAGGGTAGGGGCGGGGCGTCGGTGGGTGTGGGCGGGGCTTCCATAGGGGGGTGGGAGGAGGAGGAGTGTAGGGGCGGGGCGTCGGTGGGTGTGGGCGGGGCTTCTGCGTAGGGGGGTGGGAGGAGGAGGAGTGTAGGGGCGGGGGGTCGGTGGGGGCGGGGCTTCGCGGGGGGGTGGGTGGAGGAGGAGGAGTGTAGGGGCGGGGCGTCGTGGGTGTGGGCGGGGCTTCTGCGGAGGGGAGTGGGAGGAGGAGGAGGAGGAGGAGGAGTGCATGGGTGGGGCGTCAGTGGGTGTGGGCGGGGCTTCGGTGAGGGGGGGGGAGGAGGAGAGAGAAGGGCGGGGCCTCGGTGGGTGTGGGCGGGGCTTCGCGTAGGGGGGTGGGAGGAGGAGGAGTGTAGGGGCGGGGTGTTGGGTGTGGGCGGGGCTTCCGCATAGGGGGTGGGTGGAGGAGGAGGAGTGTAGGGCGGGGCGTCGGTTTGTGTGGGCGGGGCTTCAGCGGAGGGGGGGGCGGAGGAGGAGGAGTGTAGGGGGGCGTCGGTGGGTGTGGGCGGGGCTTCGGAGGGGGTGGGAGGAGGAGGGTGCCAGGGCCCGGCGGTGGGTGTGGGCGGGGCTTCCGCGTAGGGGGTGGGAGGAGGAGGAGTGTAGGGGCGGGGCGTCGGTGGGTGTGGGCGGGGCTTCTGCGTAGGGGGGTGGGCGGAGGAGGAGTGTAGGGGCGGGGTGTGTGGGTGTGGGCGGGGCTTCCGCGTAGGGGGGGTGTGGAGGAGGAGTGTATGGGCGGGGCATTGGTGGGGTGGGCGGGGCTTCGCGTAGGGGGGTGGGAGGAGGAGGAGTGTAGGGGCGGGGTGGTGGGTGTGGGCGGGGCTTCCGCGTAGGGGGGTGGAGGAGGAGGAGTGTAGGGGTGGGGCGTCGGTGGGTGTGGGCTACCGCGGAGGGGGTGGGTGGAGGAGGAGGAGGTAGGGCGGGGCGTCGGAGTTTTCAAAGCTTGCAGAGGGGGGTGGGGAGGAGGAGGAGTGCAGGGGCGGGGTCGGTGGGTGGGGCGGGGCTTGGAAGGGGGGAGGAGGAGGAGTGTAGGGGCGGGGCATCGGTGGGTGTGGGCGGGGCTTCTGCGAGGGGGGTGGGCGGAGGAGGAGGAGTGTAGGGGCGGGGTGTGGGTGTGGGCGGGGCTTCGCGTAGGGGGTGGGTGGAGGAGGAGGAGTGTAGGGCGGGGCGTCGGTTTGTGTGGGCGGGGCTTCAGCGGAGGGGGTGGGCGGAGGAGGAGGAGGGTAGGGCGGGGCGTCGGTGGGTGTGGGCGGGGCTTCTGCGTAGGGGGGTGGGAGGAGGAGGAGGAGTGTAGGGGCGGGGCGTCGGTGGGTGTGGGCGGGGCTTCCGCGTAGGGGGGTGGGAGGAGGAGGAGTGTAGGGGCGGGGCGTCGGTGGGTGTGGGCGGGGCTTCTGCAGGGGGGTGGGAGGAGGAGGTGGGGGCGGGGGGTTGGGTGTGGGCGGGGCTTCCGCGTAGGGGGGTGGGTGGAGGAGGAGGAGTGTAGGGCGGGGCGTCGGTTTGTGTGGGCGGGGCTTCAGCGGAGGGGGTGGGCGGAGGAGGAGGAGGGTAGGGCGGGGCGTCGGTGGGTGTGGGCGGGGCGGGGCTTCCGTGGAGGGGGGTGGGCAGAGGAGGAGGAGGAGGAGTGTAGGGGTGGGGCATCGGTGGGTGTGGGTGGGGCTTCCACGGAGGGGGGTGGGAGGAGGAGGAGGAGTGTTTTGGCATGAAGGTCCGTTGGGCGGCCAGCCATGTGCATGCGCCGGGGACTTGCGGGGCGCCATTGCGCATGCTCAGTTGTTTTGTCTAATTGTGAGTGTGTTTTATTGTTGTTTAATATTTTGAATCGATTTGTGCATACCTTGTGGGTTGAGGTATGTGCATGGGAATTTTGGTAAACTTTCGTCGGGGTTTTTTTGAGTTTTGCTGTCCCGTTGGACGCCCTTAATAGATTTATATATATAGATAATTTGTGATACGTAACCCAGCATTTAGATCTCGTTTGCTGTGACATACTGCGCTTTTGTGTCATAATAATAATAATAATAATAATAATAATAATAATAATCTTTATTTATACCCCGCCACCATCTCCCCAATGGGGACTCGGTGCAGCTTACACTAGTCCAAGCCCAAAAATTCATTACAATACAATAAAACTAAAACACAAAACAGCAACATAATAAAGTAAATAAATCATAAGAATACACTAAACCATATAAAATAATACAACAAAATAAAAAAATAAAATAAATGATGAGACCAAACTGGAAAGGTGGAATCGAAATAAATATTATTATAATGTTATTATTATTACTAGTGGAGTCTGGGGAAAATAGTCCTTGACATTTTGGGAGTTGTAGTTGCTGGGATTTATAGTTCACCTACAATCAAAGAGCATTCTGAACCCCACCAATGATTGAATTGGGCCAAACTTGGCACACAGAACTCCCATGACCAACAGAAAATACTGGAGGGGCTTGGTGGGCATTGACCTTGAGTTTTGGAGTTGTAGTTCGCCTTCATCCAGAGACCATTGTGGACTCAAACAATGATGGATCTGGACTAAACTTGGCACAAATACTCAATATGACCAAACGTGAACACTAGTGGAGTCTGGGGAAAATAGTCCTTGACATTTTGGGAGTTGTAGTTGCTGGGATTTATAGTTCACCTGCAATCAAAGAGCATTCTGAACCCCACCAATGATAGAATTGGGCCAAACTTCCCACACAGAACCCCCATGACCAACAGAAAATACTGTGTTTTCTGATGGTCCTTAGTTACCCCTCTGACACTCCCTCGTGACCCCTCTAGGGGTCTCGACCCCAAGGTTGAGAACCACTGTCTTAGAGGGTTGGGAAAGGCATGGCCAGAAGATACGGGTGGCGGAGGAAGTCTTCCTGGTCTTAACTGGTGTTGTCTTCCAGATCTGGCAGCTGGCCCTCTGCATCGTCATGGTCTTCTCGGTCACTCTGTCCGTGTTTCCTGCCATTACGGCCGGCGTTGCCAGCACCTCTGCCAACGAGACCTGGAGTGAGTTCCAAAGTGGACATTTGGTAGAAGAGAAAAGGGAACAGGGGCCACGAGTTTGGAGGTCCTACAGAGATGGACCATAGATAGAGGTCCTACAGAGATGGGCCATAGATAGAGGTCCTACAGAGATGGGCCATAGATAGAGGTCCTACAGAGATGGACCATAGATAGAGGTCCTACAGAGATGGACCATAGATAGAGGTCCTACAGAGATGGACCATAGATAGAGGTCCTACAGAGATGGACCATAGATAGAGGTCCTACAGAGATGGACCATAAATAGAGGTCCTACAAAGATGGACCATAGATAGAGGTCCTACAGAGATGGACCATAGATAGAGGTCCTACAGAGATGGACCAGAGAGTGAAGAGAGCGCTGACTGGAAACAGCCAGGATGGAAATGATTTCTGTGATTCTTTGATTCCATTGTTTCAGATGGAGAACATATGATGTGTCATAGTATCATATGATGAGATACATATGATGCGTCATAGTAATATATCCCATAGCATTGAAGAACAGTTCTGGTGCCTTTAGGGTGTTGAGATCCATCCACATACATTTTGCTTCACCCAGTTTCTCTGCCTTTTGTCTCTTCTTTCAGTCAAGTTCTTCACTCCCGTCTGCTGCTTCCTTCTCTTCAACATCATGGACTGGCTGGGACGCAGCGCCACCTCCTATTTCCTCTGGGTATTAGTATTATTATTATTATTTCAACCATTTTGAACTCCTCCTCTCTATAAAATGATGACAAAAATTCAGAAAAAATAAAATAAAAAGTATTGTCATATTATTATTATTATTATTATTATTATTATTATTATTATTATTATTATTTCAAGCATTTTGAATTCCTCCTCTCTATAAAATGATAACAAAAATTCAGAAAAAATTAAAAAGTATTATCATTTTATATTATTATTATTATTATATCAACCATTGTGAACTCCTCCTCTATAAAACGATGACAAAAATCCAGAAAAAAAATAAATAAAAAGTATTATATTATTTTTATTAGTTTACTATTATTTTATATTATTATTATTACATCAACCATTTTGAACTCCTCTCTATAAAATCATGACAAAAAATCAGGAAAAAATAAATAAAAAGTATTATCATTTTATTATTTTTATTATTTTACTATTATTATTATTATATCAACCATTGTGGACTTTATAAAATGATAACAAAAATATAGAAAAAATTAAAAAGTATTATAATTTTATTTTTATTTTATTATTCTTTTATATTATTATTATTATTATTATTATTATTATTATTATTATTATATCAACCATTGTGAACTCCTCCTCTCTATAAAATGATAACAAAAATTCAGAAAAAATTAAAAAGTATTATCATTATATTATTATTATTTTATATTATTATTGTTATTATATCAACCATTATTAATTCCTCCTCTCTATAAAATGATGACAAAAATTCAGAAACAAATAAATAAAAAGTATTATCATATTATTTTTATTATTTTACTATTATTTTATATTATTATTATTATATCAACCATTGTGGACTCTTCTCTCTACAAAATGATGACAAAATTCAGAAAAAAATTAATAAAAAGTATCATTATATTATTTTATTATTTTACTATTATTTTATAGTATTATTATTATTATTATTATTATTATTATCATTATTATTATATCAACCATTGTGAACTCCTCCTCTCTATAAAATGATAACAAAAATTCAGGAAAAAAATTCATTATCATTATATTATTATTATTTTATATTATTATTATTATTATTATTATTATTTCAACCATTTTGAACCCCTCCTCTCTATAAAATGACAAAAATTCAAAAAATATAAAGAAAAAGTATTACCATTATATTATTTTACTATTATTTTATAGTATTATTATTATTATTTTATATTATTATTATTATATCAACCATTGTGGACTCTTCTCTCTATAAAATGATAACAAAAATTCAGAAAAAAACATTATCATTATATTATTATTATTATTATTATATCAACCACTGTGAACACCTCTCTCTATAAAATGATGACAAAAATTCAGAAAGAATTAAAAAGTATTATCATTATATTATTTTATTATTTTACTATTATTTTATATTATTACTATTATATCAACCATTGTGAACTCCTCTCTCTATAAAATGTTAACAAAAATCCAGAAAAATAAATAAATAAAACGTATTATCATATTATTATTATTATTATTATTATTATTATTATCAACCATTTTGAATTCCTCCTCTCTATAAAATGATGACAAAAATTCAGAAAAAAATAAATAAAAAGTCTTATCATTATATTATTATTTTATAATTATTTATATTATTATTATTATATCAACCATTTTGAATTCCTCCTCTCTATAAAATGATGACAAAAATTCAAAATAAATAAATAAAAAGAATTATCATTACATTATTTTTATTATTTTACTATTATTTTATATTATTATTACTATTATTATTATTATTATATCAACCATTATATCAACCATATAAAATGATGACAAAAAGTATTATTATTATATTATATTTATTATTTTACTATTATTTTACTATTTTATTATTATTTTATATTATTATTATTATTATTTCAACCATTTTGAACTCCTCCTCTCTATAAAATTATGACAAGAATTCAGAAAAAATAAATAAAAAGTATTATCATATTATTATTATTATTATTATTATTATTATTATTATTATTATATCAACCATTGTGAACTCCTCCTCTATATAAAATGATAACAAAAATTCAGAAAAAATTAAAAAGTATTATCATTTTATTATTTTATTTTATATTATTATTATTATTATTATTATTATTATTATTATATCAACCATTGTGAACTCCTCCTCTCTATAAAATGATGACAAAAATTCAGAAAAAAAATTAATAAAAAGTATCATTATATTATTTTTATTATTTTATTATTATTTTATATTATTATTATATCATTATATTATCTTATTATTTTACTATTATTTTATATTATTATTATTATTATTATTATTATTATTATTTCAACCATTTTGAACTCCTCCTCTCTATAAAATGATGACAAAAATTCAGAAAAAAATTTTCACTCTTTCGTTGTAATCTATATAAAAATTAATAAAAATTCTAATTATAAAAAAAAATTCAGAAAAAAATTAATAAAAAGTATTATCAGTATATATATATATATATATATATATATATATATATAGGCGCCCCCGGTGGCGGAGTGGGTACAACCCCTGTGCTGGCAGGACTGAAGACCGACAGGTCGCAGGTTCGAATCCAGGGAGAGGTGGATGAGCTCCTTCTGTCAACTCCAGCTCCCCATGCGGGGACATGAGAGAAGCCTCCCACAAGGATGATAAAAACATCAAATAATCCAGGCGTCTCCTGGGCAACGTCCTTGCAGACGGCCAATTCTCTCGCACCAGAAGCGACTTGCAGTTTCTCAAGTTGCTCCTGACACAACCAAAAAAAGAAGTATATTTATTATTATTATTATTATTATTTATTATTATTAACCTTTTTGTGCTTGTGCTTGTGCTTCCCTCCCTCCTTCTGCAGCCTGAGCGCTTCCTGCCCCTCTTGCCGGGCGCGGTGGGCCTTCGCCTGCTCTTCGTGCCGCTCCTCCTCCTCTGCAACATCCCGCATCGCGCCCATCTGCCCACCCTTTTCCGGCAGGACGCCTGGTTCGTCCTCTTCATGGTGGTCTTCTCCCTCTCCAACGGCTACTTCGTCTCCCTCTCCATGTGCCTGGCCCCCAAGTGAGTTGGAAGGGATCCCCAAAGGCCATCCAGTCCAACCCCAGTCTGCCATGCAGATTTATTATTATTATTATTATTATTATTATTATTATTATTATTATTATTATTTTAAACACAACAAGATTAGTACATAAGATCACTCTGCTGGCTGTTGTATTATATAATAATAATAATAATAATAATAATAATAATAATAATAATAATAATATATCATAGGATCCTAGAGTTGAAAGGGACCTCCAAAGGCCATCTAGTCCAACCCTAGTCTGCCTTGCAGATATATTATTATTATTATTATTATTATTATTATTATTATTAGTCATAGGATCCTAGTTGAAAGGGACCTCCAAAGGCCATCCAGTCCAACCCTAGTCGACCTTGCAGATATTATTATTATTATTATTATTATTATTATTATTATTTATATCCTAGAATCCTAGAGTTGAAAGGGACCTCAAAAGGCCATCCAGCCCAACCCTAGTCTGCCGTGCAGATATATTATTATTATTTATATCATAGAATCCTGGAGTTGCTAGGGACCTCCAAAGGCCATCCAGTCCAACCCCCTGCCATTCAGATATTATTTATATTATATTAAAATTTATTTATATCACAGAATCCTAGAATCCTAGAGTTGAAAGAGACCTCATGGGCCATCCAGTCCAACCCCATTAGAAAAAAAAATCTAATGTTTACAGTTACTAAGAAAGATATAGCATATGGGGCAATGAATGTAGATTAAGCGATTATTATTATTATTATTATTATTATTATTATTATTATTATTATTATCATTATCAGACATCTCCATCTGAAACAAGAGAATCATAGAAACAATGGCTTCAAACTACAAGAAAGGAGATTCCATCTGAACATTAGGAATAACTTTCTAACTGTGAGAGCCGTTCATCAGTGGAACTCTCTGCCTCTGAGTGTGGTGGAGACACCTTCTTTGGAGGTTTTTAAACAGAGGCTGGATGTCCATCTGTTGGGAGTGCTTTGAATGCAATTTTCCTGCTTCTTAGCAGAATGGGGTTGGACTGGATGGCCCACGAGGTCTCTTTTTTCTCTAGGATTCTATGGTTCACCTCGGAGAGTGAAGAGAGCGCTGACTGGAAACAGCCAGGAAGGAAATGATTTCTATGATTCGATTGCCTCTGCTTAAAAACTTCCAGAGAAGGAGACTCCACTGGACTCCCAGGCAGTCTACAATTCGATAATATAGTCTTGGAAGGGGCCCTTCAAAGGCCATCCAGTCCAACCCCTTTTTCATGTTCATTTTGTCTGCTTCTTCTTCAGGCAGGTGAAGCCGCACGAGAGCGAATTGGCGGGGGCCATGATGACCTTTTTCCTGGCCTTGGGACTCTCCTGCGGAGCTGCCATGTCCTTCGTCCTTAAAGCCTTGCTTTGATGCTTTGGTCAACGGAACCGAGTGGCGGGTTCGAGGAGGCGCTGGGAGCCGTATCCCCGGATCCTGCTCCGTTCACAAAAACTAATTGGATTTGCTTCCGTGAGAAGCGGTCTGTTCCATCTGGAGGCATCGGGCAGTCTCTACATGGCTGCCGTCCCCTCTAGAATTGCTGCCTGAGGCGACTGCCTCACAATAGACCCCGATTCATCTCGGAGAGTGAAGAGAGCGCTGACTGGAAACAACCAGGAAGGAAATATATATGTATTTGTACATTGGTCCATTTGCGCTACCATTTTCCTCAGGAGTTTGAATGCCTTTTCTGGACCTGCTATATGTAGCAAAAAAAAAAGGGAATTATTTTGCAATAGAAACACGTTTTGCTGCAATTTCCGTCGTATTAACGCACAGTTTCTTCCTGGGAATATACTTCTTGGAGAAATCCCTATGATTTTATTTTGTCCAAATGTCCAGATCCATTTCCTTCTCTCCTTGTATTGCTTTGTATCTATCTATACATATATTGGGCTTCTTTCGTTGTCGTTCGAACCTACGTATTTCGGCATTTGTTTTTGGTCTCTCGACAATAACAACAACAATAATAATTAACATAAATCTCCAAAATAGGGGAAGGCAATTTGATTCCTGAATATTAGTATTACTACTACTACTACTACTACTACTATTAACATAAAACTTTAGCTGAAAAAGGGATAATTACTTTGATGAGATGGAGGCTTTGAAACAGAGGCCATCTGTCGGGAATGCTTTGAATGCGATTTTCCTGCTTTTTGGCAGAATGGGGTTTCCAGTCAGCGCTCTCTTCACTCTCCGAGATGAACCATAGAATCATAGAATCAGAAGAGACCTCATGAGCTATCCAGCTCATGAGGTCTCTTCTGATTCTATGATTCTATGGTTTGTCTCGGAGAGTGAAGAGAGCGCTGACTGGAAACAGCCAGGAAGGAAATTATTTCTATGATTCTATGTTTCCCTTGTTTCAGATGGAGATGTCTGTTAATAATAATAATAATCCCTTACCCTACATTCACTGCACCATATGCTATAGTTCACTTCAGAGAGTGAAGAGAGTGCTGACTGGAATCAGCCAGGAAGGAAATGATTCTATTTTTCCCTTGTTTCAGATGGAGATGTCTGTTAATAATAATAATAATAATAATAATAATAATAATAATAATAATAATAATAATCCCTTACCCTCCATTCACTGCACCATATGCTATTGTTCAGAGAGTAAAGAGAGCGCTGACTGGAAACAGCCAGGAAGGAAATGATTTCTATGTTTCCCTTGTTTCAGATGGAGATATCTGTTAATAATAATAATAATAATAATAATAATAATAATAATAACAATCCCTTACCCTACATTCACTGCACCATATGCTGTGGTTCACTTCAGAGAGTGAAGAGAGTGCTGACTGGAAACAGCTAGGAAGGAAATGATTTCTATGATTCTGTGTTTCCCTTGTTTCAGATGGAGATGTCTGTTAATAATAATAATAATAATAATAATCCCTTCCCCTACATTCACTGCCCCATATGCTATATTTTTTTAATAATTGTAAACAATAGTTTTTTTTTTACATTCTTAAGTAATAAAAATTACTTGAATAATAATAATAATAATATCCAGGAGTCATTGGCACTCAAAGAGAGTCTGATGCAGTCCAACTTTTCCCATCTGGATACATTGGGAGCGATGGGAGCTGGAGTCCATAAGCCTAGAGAGACATTGTTTCTGCTTAATTGTACTTCAATTCATTAGGGGAAGATGATGGAAGACCAACCTATGTGACCCTTATTATTTGATTTGTTTTGACCCACCTCTGATGTTTGTTTATTTGTTTGTATACCGACGTCCTACCCTTTAATGAAAAGGGCTGTTGTAAATAAATGTTGTTATTCCTGTCGTTATGTGGGAAGAACTAGATCGGAGGGGATAATGGGTGTCGCATTCTCAATCCTTCACTTTTTGATGCCATTTCTGAGCCGCTCTTCTGCGCACAATGACAATACAGTATATTCTATAGATCAGGTTTCCGATTGAATGTATATAATTGTATTTTTTTTTAAAAAAAGGGAATGTAGCTGCCTAGATTGTGTGTGTGGAGTGTGGTGGAGGCTCTTTCTTTGGGGGTCTCTTCCAACTCTATAACTCTATTATTCACCTCTGAGAGTGAAGAGAGCGCTGACTGGAAACAGCCAGGAAGGAAATAATTTCTGTGATCCGCCCTGAGTCACCTGAGGGCTGAGAAGTAAATAAATAAAGTGTCATGGAAACCTTACTTTACTTACTTCTTACTTAATCCTCCAGGGTGGGTCCATAGTTGACTATGGAGCCCTATTCTTGATTTGCACCATAGAGAGGGCATTGGTTTCCAGGTGGAAGGCGTTTGACTTGACGCGCCTTCCTTTTGGCACGTTTCTCTCTTTTGCCCTCCATTCGTGCCTCTTCAAATTCTGCAGCACTCCTGGTCACAGCTGACCTCCAGCTGGAGCGGTCACAGGCCAGGACTTCCCAGTTCTCAGTGTCTCTGCCAGAGTTTTTAAGGTTGACTTTCAGCTCATTTTTCAATCTCTTTTCCTGCCCACTGACATTCCGTTTTCCGTTCTTGAGTTCAGAGTAGAGTAACTGCTTTGGGAGACGGTGGTCAGGCATCTGGACAACGTGGCCAGTCCAGCGGAGTTGAGGGCGGAGGACCATCGCTTCAATGCTGGTGGTCTTTGCTTCTTCCAGCACGCTAACGTTTGTCCGCCTGACTTCCCCTAGTTTGGAAGTCAGCAATGCTATCAGCCAACAAAAAAAATAACAAAGCCAGCGGACCTGATGGGATCCCTGCTGAAATCTTTAAAGAGGGAGGACCTGAGCTGACATTTGTCCGCCTGTCTTCCCAAGAGATTTGCAGGATTTTCCAGAGGCAGCACTGATGGAATCATTCCAGGAGTTGCATGTGACGTCTGCAGACAGTCCATGTTTCGCAGGCGTATAGCAGGGTTGGGAGGACAATAGCTTTATAAACAAGCACCTTGGTATCCCTACGGATGTCCCGGTCCTCTTGGGTGGGACATCCCTGTCTCTTCCGACTCTATGATTCTATTATTCACCTTGGAGAGTGAAGAGAGTGCTGACTGGAAACAACCAGGACGGAAATGATTTTGCAGGCATATAGCTGGGTTGGGAGGACAATAGCTTTATAAACAAGCACCTTGGTATCCCAACGGATGTCCCGGTCCTCTTGGCAGTGGGTCTCTTCCGACTCTATGATTTTATTATTCACCTTGGAGAGTGAAGAGAACGCTGACTGGAAACAACCAAAAAGGAAATGATTTCTATGATCCGCCCTGAGTCGCCTGAGGGCTGAGAAGGGCTGTATTTACACATACAATAAATGAATAATGTGTCGTGGAAACCCTCCTTGTGCGAGTCACACTCTCTCAGCCTCAGATTGAAGGGTGTTTTTGTTTTTAATTAGTTGCTTCTAAAAGTGACATACGTACTGTACTTTGAATTGATGGCCATTGCTTTTGGAAGGATTATAGTTGACCTAGTATATTTTCTTTCCAATAAAGTGCTTTTTTTATTTTAATACATGATTCGGTCTGTTTTGTTGTGTTTGCATTTTTTCAATGCTTGAAGCTTTAGATATTTATTATTATTATTATTATTATTATTATTATTATTATTATTATTTTCTTTGAAAATCCTTTCCTGCGTTTTGCAAAAAAGATCTAGAGATTTATTATTATTATTATTATTATTATTATTTTCTTTGAAAATCATTTCCTGCATTTTGCAAAAGAGATCTAGAGATCTATTATTATTATTTAGATTATTATTATTATTATTATTATTATATTCTTTGAAAATCATTTCCTGCATTTTGCAAAAAAGATCTAGAGATCTATTATTATTTAGATTATTATTATTATTATTATATTCTTTGGAAATCATTTCCTGCATTTTGCAAAAAAGGTCTAGAGATCTATTATTATCATTATTATTATTATTATTATTATTATTATTATTATTATTATTATTATTATTATTATTATTATTATTTGAAAATAATTTCCTGTGTTTTGAAAAAAAAAAAGAGATCTAGACCCGACGAGGATGGGATTCGAACCCACGCGTGCAGAGCACAATGGATTAGCAGTCCATCGCCTTAACCACTCGGCCACCTCGTCTTCCGAGGCAGAGCCGCCTCTTCCACCTGGTCTATAGTTACACAATCTAATGTTTGCCGGGAAGTGTCCTTTCGGCCACAGAGGGCGCCAGAGAGACAAAGGAAAAAAAATTGCTCGCTTCTTATGCGCATGCGCACTGGTTCCCCTCCCACCTGCTCTAATCTTATCTTCTTGCGGTGCGTCTTTCTTGCCACAGAGGGCGCCAGAGCGCGTTCTCTTCGCCTCCTCGCGCGCGCGTGCGCATTGCCTCTCTTTACCACCTTGCCGTCGTTAACAATCTGCTTGCAGTGCTTCCTCTTACCAGAGAGGGCGGCAGAGAGCGAGAGAGTGATTGTGCTATGCTAATAATATAATATATTGGCAGGGCGGGCGGCCAATGGGAGGCTCGAAGGAGTTGAGGCGGGACGAAGCTAGGCAGCACTGACTGAGACAAAAACTGCGCATGCGTGCGTTTTCCCGCCCAACATCTTGTTCTAAACTCCCCACACCTGCACTCTAACCAATGGCTGCGCGCCTTTCTATGATTGGCAGGGCGGGCGGCCAATGAGAGGGTTGGAGATGGGACGAAGCATATAGGCATGAGGTATATAAGCGCTACCTGAGGTAAAAAGCGAGGGAGCGCGTTCTGAGAGGAAACCTCTTTTTCCCCCTCCATTATAGGTACCATTTTAGGATAAGGATATACTTGAATTCCAAAAAAGGAGTGAAATAGGAGATAGAAATAGAAAATAGTTATAAAAAGGCCAATTTCAAGGGGGGGGGGAGGGAATATGGAATTATTTCCACCAACAACCACCTTGAATAGATTCTGAGGAAAAACTGAAGAGATTAAGCCAGAAAAATAAGCTTATTCTCCACAGGGGGGAAATAAATAGATTAATGTGGAAAAAATAGAAGGAAAAGCTGAAGGGATTTTTTTTTAATGGGGGGAAATTGGGACAAAATAGAATGTGGGAAATCTGAAAACCTGGCTTTTCCGATGTACCTTTGGAGAGTGACTATACATTATTATTACTAATATTATTATTATTATTATTAACTTTATTTGTACCCCGCTAACATTTCCTGAAACGTACGGCGAGGCTGCATCCTCTCACCCAACCTTTTTAATGTGTATGCAGAACACATCATGCGAGGATGTGCGGGGCTTGATGAATGCAAAGCTGGGGTGAAAATTGCTGGAAGAAACATTAACAACCTAAGATATGCAGATGATACCACTTTGATGGCCGAAAGCGAGGAGGAGCTGAGGAGCCTCCTAATCAAGGTGAAAGAAGAAAGCGCAAAAGCCGGGTTGCAGCTAAACGTCAAAAAAACCAAGATTATGGCAACAAGAATGATTGACAACTGGGAAATAGAGGGAGAAAATGTGGAGGCCGTGACAGACTCTGTATTTCTAGGTGCAAAGATGAGTGCAGATGCAGACTGTGGCCAGGAAATCAGAAGACGCTTCCTTCTTGGGAGGAGAGCAATGTCCAGTCTCGATAAAATAGTGAAGAGTAGAGACATCAGACTGGCAACAAAGATCCATTGCCTAGTCAAAGCCATGGTCTTCCCTGTAGTCACCTACGGATGTGAGAGATGGACCTGAGGGAAGGCTGAGCGAAGGAAGAGAGATGCTTTTGAGCTTTGGTGTTGGAGGAAAGTTC